TATATATATATATATAACTTCTCTTCACTAGAAATGACATCTGTAAGAAGTAACAGTAACAGTTTCCTCACTCATTGCTATCAACAAAGTAGCCAGGAATGATGGCTATTTGGAGAGCTACAGAAGAAACATTTACACATTAATTCATACACACATAAACGCACACACACACACACACACACACACATATATATATGTATATTTTTCTTTTTTTTTTTTTTGCTTATCCAAAGAGGACTCACCACCAATGATGCAGAGGTTTTCGTCATATTCAGACCTTTCACAAAAATTTATTTTAGGCACACATCTGACCTGGCAAGAATCTATTAATGGAAACACTGTCAGAATTTTGCATCAATCCACAGCAAGAAACAATAAACAAGAAATATAAAATAGACTTAGTAAGATAAAAACAAATAGCTGAATCTATTAGGGGTGAAAAAAAATTGTATTCAATTACTTAATCAAAAGAAGCTTAATCGATCATTTTTCATTTCCATTCTTTAAATTAAGTTCAGATACAATACTAGTTATGTTTACATTAGCTCTGTTTGATCATTACATTACATGAACTGTAAAAGATATGAGCTTACCCTTGTTGACAGTGAAACAGTTTGAGTCTGGATGATAAAAAAAAACATATTCAAAATCATATTCATAAAATCATATTTTCATCATATATATATATATTCAGCTTTATGTTTGTATCTTTAACTTTTAACTTTTAACTTAGAACAGTTTTAACTACTTTATAATGTTCCTGTTCTAAATCCTAAATCCTAATCTAAATCACACGCACGCACGCTCGCACGCACACACACACACTCACACACACACAAGCAAACAAAAATAGCCATTTTTAACTTTCTAGCCCTTTTGCTCTTATTTTTTCTACTGTGACTCCAAATACAGTATAATACAATTTAAATTTGTAGCATTCACAACACTGAAAAATTAAAATGTAAATTACAGTAATGTAATATCACCTTTGATATCTGTGGCTCTGCATTTCTCCCCATGCAGGACATACTTGAAGCACCCCCATTTAATATACCATTTTGAAATGAACATAAGATAAGAGCCATCCTTTGTCACCATTTGAGGCAAGTTTTTATTCAGTTCTGCTGTTTATTAAAAACAGAAATAAAGTTTAATTTGCATTCTGTTGAAATGCTGATTAATTTGTTTTGTGTATTTTTATTTGTTATTTGTGTATAACAAGCATGCTTTACTCACGGTCAAAAGTGGCATTTTTCTGCAGAAATAATGTGCAAATATCACCTGAGAGGTAAAGAAAACAGTCTTTTATAGTCTTACTATACTATAAGAATCAGACTATACTATATTACACTATAGTCTTACTCTTAAACTCTTAAAATCAGAATATTCTTATCACTCACAGTTATTCAGTGGATTCAGATTATACTGACTAAATGAGAAATAAATTACACTGTAAATACTTATTCAATAACGGGGCTTTTTTCTTTAGTAAAAGACTTAAATTAATGTTTATGTACTTTCACAAAAGGTAGGTTATGACAAGGAGACTCACCCTTCCTCCCAGACTTAGCATGATGTTTTGTTCCACAGCAACAACAATAATAAAAAAACTATACTAAAATAATTAGAGTATATTTACATTTTTTTTTTTAAATCCAAAAATAAGTATTCCAGATTAAAATCTTTTTCCAATATCTAGGAGCCATTGTAATTCCTTAACCCCTTAAAAAAGCCAAGTATGGCAGCTAAAAACATAGCACCTGGTTACCACAAGTTCTACGATTGGTCAGCTGGCACGGCTCACTTTTTCTCTAAAATACGTCACAACATACACACATTATAGTTTATGATGAATCAGCAACTTCTGTAATTAAAATGTTTATTATAGTTTTGACTCACTTTTATTCCAAAGCTTTTGTTTGTTGATGACGGCAGTGAAGTTATCTGCAACGACCACATTTTCCTTGTTGTTGCAGAAACATGCCAGACATTTTGTGTTGTGTCTTCCTGGGTATAAAACATCATAATCACACCAGATAACAAATAACAATGAAAAATGCAATATCTTTACAGATTATTATAGTCATAGTAGAGCTTACGTTTTTTTACTGTTGTCTAGTTTCATTCTCAAAAAATGCAATTCCATAAGGAAATAATACAAATGTGATACACATGCACTTGTTTGATTTTGAATAGAGTTACTGAGGTTCCTACCACATCTTTTTGTGCAGGGATTATTCTGAGACACACACACAGGGAGAATCCACAGAAGGCCCACCAACAAAAACCAAATCATCAAGCTCTTTTGCGTCATGGTCATTTGATGGCATTAAGTCTCGGTCAGGAGGTGTGATCCAATTTACTGCTTCAGTAGATGAACAACAAATATTTTTTTCAAAGTACATTTTCTATAAGGTATTATCAAGTAGAAATGACCCAAGTATTCTATTTCTTACCTTTCTCTGGTGCAAGTAACGTCAGAGCACTGAACAGCAGTGTTAAACAAGAGCAACTGAACCAGATGACTATGTTGTCAAAACGACTTTGCATAGCTGCCCACTGCTAAAAAATTTGTATTGCAAATTCAAAGTTCCTGAAAGAGTCATAAGAAGTTAATCCGGGCACTGTTCTCTAATGCAAAATAACCCAAACAATATTACCCTTGGATGAACATGCATGGGTGATGTAGCTAACAGTAAGGTTGTAATGCACAGTACAATGTATAAACAGCACTGTCCATTTTTCAGGATCATGTCAGTTAAATACTACTTTTTAAATATTTTTTAATGTAAAGTAAATGGTTAATAATAAAGAGCAAAGTATAGACAATGAAGAACATTTAGATTCGAATTTGAACTTTATTTCCACAGTTATTTGTCAGTTTTAACTGAGAAAAGGAATTTCAATAAGCTTCACCCCACACAATGTAACACTTTGTTGACTGTTCTTATTACATCAAACAAACTAATTAAACACTGAAAACATGTTAAAACACTGATAGGGCCACAGAAAGTATCAACATATTCACACTTAATTTTTGTTGTAAAATAAACAATGTTGCAAAATATTCATAAAGACAAATTAAAGGAATCACAACCATCTGTTAGTTTGCAAAGTCTGGCTGAAAAAAAAATTTAATATCTTTTTCCAACTGCAGATTCAGTCAAATGGTTGTAATGAACATTTTGATTCACTTTGTGTTATATAGTCTTTGCAGAGCTGATTTGCAATTCTTCTCTTTACTGCTGAACAGAAAGCTTGTGTTACTGTCAGCTGATCCGATCTAACTGTATTTATAGCACTAGTGTGTATTTTCCAATGAAAAATTTCCATTTACTGCAAGAGTGGGCTTTGTGCATGGCTCACTCTGTATTTGTTTCGTAGGCTACACTCATTTTCTACAGGCTGTTCATCAGAAGTCTGCTCAGACATTTCATTTTCTAGAAAAAACAACTACTTCAAGCAAAACAAGATATTATTTCTTTGTGATTGAATAAGCAACTTATATTTTTTCAACCGCTGAACTACTGTATTCCTACGCCCAAGCACACCAACTTTGAGCGCGCTGATCTGAATCCAGTGCTGGTAATACACCGACTATGCATGACTTTGTCCTCAAGAGGGCAGCACAGCGCTTTCGTCGCGTCTGTTCAGACTCGAAATAAGTGAAGAAGTACATGGCGGAAGTGGACGGCAGTCACCCTGCAGCTGAGAGAATGAGTGAACGACGTTGACCTACAGTGAGTAAAAAGAAAACACAACTATTGAAGACTAAGCTGGGGGGATTTACTTGCTGGCGTGAATAGCGTTTACCTGTAACTTGACCGTCTGTGCCGATGTTTGTATCACGGGATCTCAGTTTGTGTGTAAATGGAGTGCGTCTAGGACTGGTCTAGATCATCTGGAGCAAAGTGACAGTCACACCGAGGGTCCATTAATTCAACTGATTTCTTATCAGTTCGGCATTAAGGTTACTGTTGAACCTTAACTTAAATGTACCCATTTACACTCAACATGCAGTGGTTACTGTCGCCTGTACACCGTGTGTCTCAACCGGTCGACTAGTCGGAATGACAGGGGAACCGGCTCTGTTGAAATCCGAATCAGTGTAAAACTTCCCAGAGTAAGTAATGAAGTAAATGTGATGTATCCCGGATTAAAGAGTTGACCCTGACCATTTGAGAAATGTCTTTAAAAGTGACGTGTGTGGTGTGGGCATTGACAGGTTAAGTTATCTTTAATTGGCCAGTTTTTTAATTGAGGCCGGTGTGGCCGCGTTTCTAAGGAAATTGCCAAAACTAAAACTGTCTGTTGATTTATTGTGGTTATGTTTCTTTTAGTTTACTAATGACGTATAGATTGAGTTTACATCCATTTTTTTTGTTGTAATATCTGGTTTAACTAACCTACAGCTAAAGTCACATAGGAAATAAATGTTAAATCTTGGCCTTTCCTTTAAGGGTTCTGCTTCACATAATCCCATCTGGCACCTCAACTGTTCCCACTCTTTTTATTTAAGATATGTCTGCAGGTTGTATGAGGTGGGTGCTAAGCCATGCAGTGAGAGCTGTGTGTGGAGTCAGTCCGGGCTACAGGATGCCAGCATCAAGGTTTCTCAACTGCACTGAAAGATCAAGTATCATTGCTGCCTCCTGGAGCCGGTCTCCATTCTCCACAGCAGAAGTGGACACAGAGCAGACGCCTGCACCAAAGAAAAGAAAGCAGGACTCCAGAGCTGATGCCACAATCAGCAACGTTGGCCACTCGATCCCGCACCAACACATACAGTTGATAAGTGAGACAGGCGAGGACCTAGGCACCATCCACCGAGTACGTGTGATCAGAATGATGGATGAGCAGGGTCTGAAACTGGTGCTGCTGAATGCACACAAAGACCCTCCGGTCTACCAGCTGATGACTGGCAAACAGATCTACCAAGAGCAACTGAAATTGCGGGAGAAACAGAAGGCAAAACCAGGTACGCGGTGTCACGGCAAGGACCCGAATTAAGTGTCAGTTTAATACATGTACAACACAACCTAGTACTACTCCGTGGTTGAAGACGGTTGTATGATGTCTTGTGAGGCTCTGGAGCAGCTTTGTGAAGTCTGAAAAATAATCTGTCACCTGTCATCAGATTTAAGACGCTAGATTTATAACAGAAATTGTGGGTGTGGAGTTCAAAAGATGCAGGCATCTAATGAAAGACACTATTGAGTAGAATAGTTTTTATTTATATAGAACCTTACAAGGTGTGAGTAGTAAAGCAATAACATGTAAAAACAGATACCTTAGGTTGTTAGTGAAATTAAGAGATGCATTATGGGAAATGTAGAATCCAGTGTTTCTGGTGTTTGACCCATGTTAAAGACAAAACGTCTTCGATTTTGAATGTTCTTTTTTTTTATCAGCAGCAGGGCTGAAACCAAATTGTTTTCAGTAAAAATGAATCTGCTGATTATTTAATCGAACTATTTGATTCTATCAGTTTGGAAAATGTCAGAAGTTTTTTCTAACAGCCCAAGTTGACATCTTCAAATGATTGTGTGTTTTTTTTCTTGTTTGTAACAGAGAAAGCCCAAAGAAGTAATATAAGTTGCTGCAAACAGAAAGTATTTTCAATTTTTGCTTTACAAATGTCTGAAATAGTTGCAGAAAAGTTGCAGATTCATTTTGATTGGACTAATTCTGTCAGCTCTACTCACAAGTCCCACAACTTTAACACAGTGTAATAGTAAATTGCTGGACTGGCCCTTTAATCTTTCCAGCTGTCAATAAATATTAACAGCTTGGGAGCTGCTTGAACCAAGGTTAGTTCCAGGGAATATCCATTGATTATCTCCTTGACAAGCGATTTCCTGCCCCAAAGCTGTTAGAGCTATTAACTAATGTATCCTTGAGTTGAATCTAGTCTAGTGAAGAGGTTTCTTAAACGTCGTACACATAGTCTGTGAAACACAGTTTAACCAGTCCTGTATTTTCTCCACAGCTACTGTGCAGGTGAAAGAACTCACCTTTTCACCTGGCATCTCACCACATGACCTCACCACCAAGCTGAAACAAGTGGAGAGTTGGCTGGAGAAGAAGCACCATGTCAGGATTACTCTGCGATCGGGACGCAACGACCCCGCAGTCAACCTGGTGAGGAAGAACACACTGTTTTTGTTTTTGTTTTTTATGATTTATGGGAGACAATCATCTGTTAAATATTTTAAAGGATCATTATCAAAAAATACTTTCAAAGCAAATAACAGCAGATATGTCATTGACTTTTTTTAGTGTGTTACTTTCACATATCAATATCTCACATGGAAAGTCTTCCTTCTGCAGGACACAACTTTGCAGCAGATGGTGCAACAAATGGAGGTAACGGTGGGATTTGTTTCCCCGCCAAAAGTCATACGTGACGGTCGAGCAGCCATGTGCATCGTCCGTCAGCCTTCAGCAAAGGAAATCTCACAAAAAGGAAAGAAAAACACAGCGGCCACGCGGCCCGCCGCTTCCCGTTCGAAGAGCACTGGGAGCAGCACGCCGCCTGTTGGCACCACGGACACGGCAGAAGAGTCTAAACAGCAGCGATCTGATGGAAATTAAAAAAAATTCAAAAAAACAAGTCAAACTCTGTTCTTCACTGTCAAAGTTTGGCGTAAATCCCTTGATCAGATTCTACCCCTGGTGTCTTGTGAAGGTATTTAACAAAGCTCATTGAGTAATAATGATGCATCCAGCTAAAAGGTCTAGCCATTAGTTGTCTGAAAGTTCTTTGATCTTTGTCGGCCATGTCCTTTGAAGCTCGGGCCGAGCTACACCCTTCATGGCATATATACTAAATGACGACCTTTGTTTGTTTTTTTGTTTTGTTTTTTCTTTAAGGAATGAATGAATGAATGAATGAATGGGGCCTGATGTTTGAACGCTGCATTCAGTTCTGATACATCCATTACAGCCAATCATCACCTAAATAACTAGTCAGCTGGTTACCATAGACTTTGAATCACAAGTTTCATTAACTTAATGAAATAAAAACTGGGGGTGGCGTGACTTGGGGGGGGGGTGGAGGTCGAGACACCTGTCATCTCTCCACTGTTTGTGATAAAGACAGAAGAGGCGCTGGGCCATCACCAACCTCCAGAACAGCTTCAGCGCTCAGTGTCATCTCCTAGTCTCTTCCAGAAGATATTCCCTCGTTTGGTGTTTTGATGGTGGCGCTGGAGAGCTCTGGCCGTGACGTCCCGTATGCTTCGCATCATTAACATACTTAGTAAGCCATGAACTCACCCAGAGATATCTTCATCCAGGAAAAGACTTCTCCCACCAGGATATAAATGTGCCATCACACTCACAGATCATCTGTGTCTTATCAGCATTTTTTACATGTCACACAGTACAATCGGATGTTAACTGCTTATATATAGTCTGGCGCCCGTCTCTAAATGTAACCAGATGTTTGTGGCTCAATCCGCACATGTAAACAGACATTTAAAACGTGATGAACACACGGCTGAGACTCACACATACACTGATGAGCAGGTTGGCTGCACAGGAGTTGTGGATTTGGTTGCCACTCTGTGTGAAGCAAGTGAAGAAGAGACTAAATAGTTTGATGATGCGTTTCATAATTATAATAATGTCAAACACTGAAAGAAGCAGTGATTCTGGTCAACAGTGCCCCGTTTCGTTGTGTTCACAGTGTTGCAGGTGTGAGGAACACACAGTGCGTACCATTCTCTGCTTTATTCAAGATTCATATTTATGTTTTTGGTAAAAAATAAAAAATAAAAGCAAATTTGGCGTACAGATACATTCACTTGTCACAGATGTGTTTGCTCGACTCAAGTGTCAGTTCCACACTTTGTCAACACCTTTTCTCTAACAGCAGAGATACTGTCTGGAAACTTTTTATTCATTTATTCTTTAAAACTAGAATCATACTTTTCCTATACATAAAAAAGAAATCAAGGAAAAGAGAGAACTTAAAAACATAAAACCACCTTAAGGCCCAAAAAAATAAAATCTCTCCTAGATTGTGTTAGAAAAAAACAATGACAACAGAAGCAGCTTCACTAGCATGCATGAACAACATTTGTCAATAAGCCTCGAGTACTTTGTAGGAGGAGAAGGGTTTAACAAAGTGATAGTCCAGGTTGCCGCAGTGAGGGCACTGCTGGACGTTGCTGTACTCGGAGAAATACTGCATCCCGACTCGGACGTCCACCACTGGCTTCCCACAGTGCTTACAGTTGAGACGAGCCTGAGGGGGGGGGGGCACAGGTCAGTTAACAGGATGTTAAATTGAATGTGAGCGTGGAAGTTCATTCCTGACCTTGGGAAGTTACATGCAACAACCGACAGTGACCCTGGACAAGGGACTGAATGAACATCAGCTGTTTGCAGAGGTAGAAAGTATCTAAGCATATCTGTGCTTCAGTATAATCTTGAGGTACTTGTACTTTCTGCTCCTTTATACGTCTACTCCACTACAATTCAAAGGCAAATATACGTTTTATTCCACTACATTTAGCTGATAACTTTAGTTTGACGTCACTTTGCAGATTCAGATTACTGTTATTACAGGTGAAGATATGAATAATATAAGAATGTAGTATAAAAATAACCCCCGCCTTCACCAGCTGCAACATGTAAGTGACACATGAATTCATCAATTGATCTAGTCCTATAATATAACATACATTACACACATTATATATTTTGCATTAGTACTTTTGATGCTAAAACTCTGTAAACTTGTAAAACTTGGAATGCATGTCTTTCTCTTGTAAGTGTTTCTTCACTGTGGTGTTGGTTCTTTTACTCAAGTAGAAGATCAGGGGCTGGTTGCACAAAACACTTTATTTTCTACTTAAGTATGGCGCTTAAGATTTAATTTCTCCTTAGCTGAAGGAGTAACTTAAGGGTGTTGCACAGAGTCTCTTAAAAGGTTTCCTTAGTGTAGGAAAAAAGTTAAAAGAGATTTAAGGGTGTGGAACACTCTTCATTTTCTTCATTCATCCCCATAAAGTCGGCCATGTTGCAGTTAAGACGTCAGACGTACCTTTAGCTTTTGAACTTACTTCGGTCACTAAGATCTTTTGTGCAGCAGTTTAACTGACTTTAAGTGATTCCTTAAGTAACAGACAAAGATGAAGAGAAAACCTTAAACACTTAAAATGAACATTTTAAGGAAAACTTAAGGTGTTTTGTGCAACTGGCCCTTGGCTGTGTGTGGACACTAGATCGAAACCACTCACAGCATCGGGGTCAACGTCACTGACCAGGAGCCAATAGACAGTCGGATAACGATCAAGAAAGACATCTTCATTAGAGCCGAAACCATTATTTGATATATATAATGATAAATTTAATAGTTTCAGTCATTTTTCAAGCAAAATACCAAATGCTTGCTAATTCCAGCTTCTCCGATGTGAGGATCTACTGTTTTTGTTGTCATTTACCAAATATCTTTGGGTTCTGAACTGAGGATCAGATGAAACAAGCTATTTGGAAACATCACCTCTGGCTCTAGGAAATCAAAACGAGCAGTCTTTTGTTTTAGCAGAAAGTTTTTTCTCCATTTTCTCACAGTTGGTCTCTTGCGTCACTCTTTTGTAAAAAGTTAAATTGGCATCTGCTGCAGTAGACGGTAAAATCTGAGCACCCTAACAACCCATTTAACCTTCAAGAACAACAGTGCTGGCAGCTACTGGCTTATTGTCAAAGCTGTGTGGGACCTGCAGCTCTCCCCTTGCTTTAGAGCTGTCTGAGTCTGGCAGCGGAACAACATTGATGTGCCATCACCTTATAAAGCTGATTTTGTAATCGTGTTAGCTAACAGTTGCGTATTCACACATCCTGCAGAGCACACAGAGCAACTTTCACTGACCTCTGACAGAAGGAAATACCTCTTTGGTTTTTGGTCTAAAACTTTAACTAACTTTAACTTTAACTAACAAAATAAATATCATTTTCTGATCAGTGTTTCTACCTGGCAACACGGTGAAGCAGCCAGTATGTCGTAGGTGTACATGGTGCCCAGTTGATGCCAGCTCCCGTCCCAGCGTGACTTGCACTTGATGCAGACGATCTTGTGGACGCCTTCTAGACAGTCCACACAGATGGCGTACAGGTGCATTAACCTGCCTGTTAGAAATGAAGAAACGCCATCAGTCATTACATTTACTAAATAACAAGTCACAAGTCAGAACAGTCTGTTGATCAGCCAGGAAAATCAATAAAAATCACATTACATTTATCAAAATAAAACAAGTTTCTAAAGGAAACAAAACTGCAACTGCTGATGTGATTTCAGTTCCTAAATATCAGTCTAGAAAATAGCAAAATGAAACTTTCTCAGCTCTGTACAACTTCTGTGAATGACTCTCAGCGTGACAAAAAATGCCACATATGTAAAACGGTTGCAAGTCATTTTATATTTCTATAGCGCCCAGCTGTAAACTTGAATGCTTCCAAATAAAACTGGTCCTAACAGAGTCATGATTATTGTGTTCTGATGTGTTTTCAATTCCCTGCAAACTTGCTCAATAAAACAGCAAATGCATTTCCATCTTCATTTTCTTTCAGCTGCAACATCAAACCTCACTTTTTAACTCTATGGCACAATTCAACCACTTTTCCTTGGCCAACATTTATATTCGGTCTGACTCAAAAGCGTGAAAAACTAAATAAATCAACCTTTCATACTGGTGCATATCGAGGCGCGTACATATCAAAGCTCGTGGGCCAACACATCAAAGAAGCCTCATGAAAGTGAATATTTGACTGAGCAAAGATAGTATGCTAATGGTTTATCTGTTTTCTCCAAATGAACTGCTGGTGTGCTGGACACGGGGAGCTTGACAACAGTATTTGCTTCATGGTGTTTTTGTTGGTCTGTGCAGCGGATTGTCCTACGATCTGCAACTTCGCAGTGCAAAACACACGTCGATAGACGAAACAAAAGCAAATGTAGAAAACATCTTCACCTGTTTGAACGCACAGGTGCAGCATTTAGAAAAAGAAAAAAAAAAGCTGCAAAGTGAGAAAACACAACCACCGCATACAGAGATGCTGCCAGTCGACTTCAGCTGCTTCAGTGCAATGAGTTGCTGCAAGTTGATGTTTCTGTATACGGCTCAGGGCCACTCTATAACCCTTTTATTAATGTTGTTTTTATTGTTTCATCTTATATTATTGTTGGATATTTTATTCCATTGGAATTTTATATTATTTTTAATTTTAATTTATCCACCTCAATGCCATTTTAAATGTTTTAACCCTGGGTCAGCTACGTGACGCAGGGTACTTTGCTTTGAAAAGTGATATATAAATGCAGTTTATTATTAGCATTATAATCATTATTATGATTATGATTATTAGACTGCATCATAGTGCATTGGTTCCCAATCTGTGGGCCAGAGCTTCTTCAAAAAAAAAAGTGTAATATGTGCAATATAAGTATTTGAATGTGAATATGTTTATTGGTCCTTTGTATGCATGTTTTTAATTGTATAATAAAATAGTTTCAATATATGTGACTTAAATATGGAATTTGGGTTTTTTTCTTTATATTTTGTGTAACATAATCTCAGGTCCTCATGCCATGATCTTGAAAGCAGGTCTGACCTTGAAGGTGACAGGGGACGTCGTACTCAATCTCGTCGTGGCGTGAGGGGCTGAGAAACAGAGTCCCGTCCACCAAAGGAAACTGTTCAAACACAGGCAGCGCCCGGTGGCACAGCGCGCAGTTGACCACGTTTCTCTGGCTCGCACTGAGGGCTGACAGGATAAACCTGCAGGACAACATGAACAGACGAAATCATGATCACACCATCGTTAAGTCTCCTTGTTTTCCATGTAGATTTACAGCCGACATGTTATGTGAATATTATTATTATTTTATGTAAAGTGGCACTGAATTATTTCGGCATGAAGGATTTTGTGGTTTTAATGCTGATTTATTGGCTTTTATAGCTGTAATAATGTGGTGAAGTGGGGTGTAAACAATGGCTTCTTTACACATCCAGCAGTTAAGGAGCAAAATTAGCATTTAGTATTCAGTGCAAAGTCTAATATTCACTCTCTTTTAGCTTAGTTTTTGGTCTCTATCAGCTCCTGAGGGAAATATCTGGCTTTTTAGCTGCTAAATGCTCCACTATGTTCACCGGCTAATTGTTAACTTTCTCTCTGTGCCCTTTGTCACTGAGCAGGTAGTGTAAAGTGTGTTTTTAGAGCCTATGAGAACAGCGAGAGTGAACCAAAACAGTAAAATTGCAGCCAGAAAGCTGAGTTAATAAACACTAAAAAGCCCTTTTACATACAAACAGTCATGTCAATAACATTGAGTACAGCTGCTTTAAAAGTTATTCATTACTGAGTATTCAGGTTTATTATAATACGTGTTGATTTGATTGATAATCTTCACAGCTATATTTCTTGTGTTTTACGTTGTTTATACAGAACCATCAACAGAAAGGAAAATTACTGTCATGCATAAACAGTTCATGTGACTGATACACTGACTGGCAACATCAAAACCACCATGAGCTTTCACTGTGTTTTGGTTGCTAGTACTGATGGTGAGTATCTAGCAAATAAAATGAAAAACAGACCAAATAACGGCGCCAACTATTCTAAAAAAAAAAAAAAAAAGAAATGCAGGAAAAGTTTATTGTGAAATCCTGAAAGTTTTCATTTCGATCTGGTTCCTCAAATTGGGAGAAAAACAGCTCAAAAGTAGCAGTTCACCACCAGGACTATGCCAAGCAGAGTGCGAAATAAAGCAAAGTTTTTCTTTGATAATTCCTTCTTGTCAGTGTCAATGAATAGATTTTAAAATGCTGCTGTTGTTTTTTTAAGTGCTGGGTGGTTTAGTTTAGGGAGAAAATACATTTCTGATCTGCTGCTCTGCTATGAACTATCCACACCTCTCACATCATCTGGGACAGATACAGTTACTGCCCCCGGAGACCCCAGATACAGTTTTTATGCAACACATATCTGGAATGAACTCCCAGGAAATTTCAGATCTGCTCCAGCTGTCGAGGCTTAAAACCTTTCTGTGCGCCACTGCTTTATATTAGATTAAATTTGCACTGCACTGTAACTGTTTTAACTGTGTATTTTATATTTACTTGCTTAAAAAAACCTCAACTATACGTGTCTTTTTTTTTTTTTGCATGTTTATGTCTTATGTAAAATGTATAAACTCTAGCTGTAACTGTAGCTTTTTCTCGTGGTTTCTTTCCAATAATCAGAATCTTTTGTCAATATATCAAATATAATAATATTCAAGTTTAAGTTGGTCAGAGGAATGTTTCTATCAGATATTTGATTAGTGAGACAGGGCTGACAAGCAGACAAATCTGCTTTTATAATAACTTGAACTATGAGATATATGAAAACTATTCTGTTAACCCAGCATCTACCTGCGTAGCTCCTCCCCCTGGCCTGCCTGGGCATCATCCTCCATACGGACGTGGTAGGTGTTGAGTTTATGTCGAGGGATGTGGGTGAGGAGCTCCGAGAGGTCCAGCCTCCTCAGGAACTGCACCGGGTGAGGGTGGGTGCCGTCACCCACGCTGCCAGAGGTGAGGCGGTGGTGGAGCGGAAGGGCGAGGGACAGAGGCAGGGGGATAACAGACCCGGGGTCGAGGTGAGGACCGCCGGCTCCGCCGCCGGAGGCTCCCAACGAGCAGCCCCCGCCCCTGCTGAGGGCTCCCCCGACCAGAAGGTGTTTCCTCTGCGGGTCCATGTGGACGGCTGATTTGAGGAACTCTCCCAGCTGACGGGAACCCCGCAGACCTGCTCCTCCGCCTCCTGATCCGAGAGCAGCAGTGGGGGAGAAGGAGAAGCCGGTAGGAGGAGATTGTCCTGGGGAGTCGCATGGAGATTTCAGAGGAGGCCCCAGAGGAAAGGGTCCTCCTGCAGCATGTCCCCCTGCTGCTGCTGCCCCTCTCTCTGTAGAGTTCTGTCGGTCCACTGATTGTCTACGAGGTAACTCCTGACTAGAGGCTCTGTGGGACAGTTTACCTCCTGCTCCTGCTCCTGCTCCTGCTCCTGCTCCTGCTCCTCCTCCTGCTCCTGCAGGCACCTTACTTTTCTTAGGCTCCTCAAAAGGCCCGTCCCCAGACCCTACAGCCCCTCCACTGGCCCCAGTCCTGCCCGCACTCCTCTCCGATGGCTTCTTCTTGCGCTCATCCTGCATGCGTTTCACCTGATACCAGTCGGTGTCTTTCTTCAGGTGACCCTGGCCGCAGCGGCAGGAGCAGAACCTGAAGGCCAGGTCGTAGCCCTTCTTGGTCCACATGTTCTGCCGGCACTGCTTCTCGTTCCAGGACCGCGCACGGCCGATGCAGTTGAACTGGACGAGGATGGAGCTCTCCCACTCGTAGAAACACTGCAGATGCATCCAGTTGCCGTAAGGGCAGAGCTCGTTGTTGCAGAGCACCCGCTGGTAGTCGTCCTTCTCCAGGTCGATGGCCCGGCCGAGGCTGCAGCCGAGAGGGGTTGCGCACTGGACCTCTGATGAATAAAGACAGGAGAGGGGTGGGGATTAATCGATCAATAATTTGTGCTACAATAGGACAGAGAACAGTGAAAAAACCCAAGTGGCACCTTCAGTTTGCTTGTTTTCTCAGAGCAACAGACAAAAACCTATTGATTTTTTTTTTTTTTGGCTGCAGCTAATAATTATTTTCATTATTGATTAATCTGCCTATTATTTTCTCATTTAATCAATTAACTGTTTGGTCTAAAACATCAGAAAATTGTTAAAATGTCTCTCACAATTTCCTCTAGTCAAACTGTTTTCATGTCAAATGTTACAAGGTCAAAGGTGACTGAGCCAATCAGAGAGGATGATTTTCTTCTGTTTATTCTCTTCCCATATTTACATTTTAAACATCGTTTAGAGAGATTATTGCTTCAAAATACTTGTTTTGTCTGAGAAACATCCAAAAACCCGAGATAAACAATTTACTCTGCTTTAAAACAGAGAAAAGCTAAATATCCTCATATGTAAGAAGCAAACGTTGATCATTTTCGCCTGAGAAGCGACTTAAATTTAAAGCTAAATCACAGAATTTTGATAATGGATTAAACTCTTGTCATTTTTCAAGCAGAAATGCCAAATATCTGCGTCTCAGATGTGAGCTTTTGCTGCTCTCCCTTGTCTTAAATGATGGTAAGCTGAATTTTCTGGGATCTCGGACTGTTGATTGGTTAACATAGGCATTATGAATATGTTACTTGGGTTCAATGTCACTTTAACGCTTTGTAGACCGAACAATTAATCTGTTAATTGGGAAAATAATGTGCAGATTAATCAGTAATCTAAGTAATAGTTGGTTACAGCTCTGAGATGTTTTTCCCCCTGTAATTAGACTGATTAATTGAATAATGGATCAATATCTTCAACACTAACAAAGTCACAGACACTTCGTGGAAACAACAGCACTGATTTAAATGGACAACAGCACCATTAAAGCAGTGTGTCTCCATCATAAGTTACATTAGCAAGGTCATCCTCATCACACACCAACAGCACAACACGAGATGCAAATGTTAAAAGACTGATTCCAGTGTCCTTTCTGCCTCATTGGCATCAATTTATAAAATTCAACTAGGCCATTCAAGCCTGTGAGCAGCTCTATTCAAGCCCTGCCAATTGTCAAGTCTGGATGTGTATCAAGTAAATGTGGGCACACAGTCTACACGAGGAGCAGCTCATGATAATACACTGTGGGCGTGTGTGGGGAGGATAGTTTCCTCCTTCCTTTTCCGGTACACTGTCAGTGCTTTTTTTTTTTTTTTTTTTTAATATCTTTCTAAGTCACCATACAATGGAGAATCACTCCGTGCATCACTTTGCTGGATAAAACTGATAAAGTGCTACACCGGGTTCAGACTTGGCCATGAACGAATCTTTAAATGAATCTTGTTTAGACACAGAAACCCGGGAATAAAATAAAATCACTTCATGCAGGTATTTCCTAACAGTTGATTTAACAGTGGACTTGTATCATCTGCTCAGTATTGTCTTGATGAACTGATTCATTGTTGGTCAGTACAACATTAGAAAATTGTGAACAATGCCAATTACAATTTCCCAGAGCCCAAGGAGTCATTATTATATTCACACCACTTGTTTTGTATAAACAACAATAAACAACTTCACTATAATTTCAAGACAAGGAAAAGCAGGAAATTGATAAAGCTGCAACCATCAAGAGTTTGGCATTTTTTGCTTGATAAATGACAAACAATTAATGGATTAGTTGCCTTTTTGTTTACTCTTAATCATGTAACCAATTAATTAACTTGTTTAAGTGGGAAATACCTAACTTACAGTAGCCTCTGTTCATTTTCTGTATTGAATTCAACAGTAAAGTAAGATTAGTGCTTTTTTTAAACCTAGGCCTTGTTATATAGCACATTACATTTATAAGTCTTATTACAATGTAATAAAAAGACTAAGACTGTAATATAGCACTGTACCTAAAGATGGTGATGGTGTGAGATGATTTTTCAAACTCAAAGTCTGTTTTGAGCCATATTTATCATATTAGTAAGAGGGCAAGAAGGCAAGCAGGGCTACAACTGTAAGTCTGTGTGGGATGAAGTTGAACTTGACTGCGCAGACAAGCGGCGAGGTATCAGTATTACCCCTTGAGGAGGAGGAAGGCCACAACCAAAAACTGTGTGGACAAGGTGCGCGTCAGGAAAAGACAGCTGAGGCCTGCACACTAAACGTAACAGCCATCGATCATTTAATGAGAAAGAAGTGCTGCATTGAGTCATTCAGACTCCCCGATGCCACATTAGACAACAAGGAATGTTATTTTTTTTTTTTTATAGGTGATCATCCTTTTTTCCCCCAGGAGGAGCTCGACGCGCCAAACTCCATTAATAGATTTTACAATTTAAGGGTTATATGCTTTCGGGAACTCTTGAAACCTTTAAAAACATGAGTCAAGACGATTTACGAAGCAAACATCAGTTGCTGTACACATCGGCGTATAGACACGACAAGCAACGCCTGCTTTTATAATATTTAAACTTGTTTGCCTACTGTTCCCACAATCGTCTTGTACCAAAACAAACCACGGTGCCTGTAAAAAATCCGTGTGAAGCAATTACACAAAACGAGATTTCAATGCAGGTGAAATGCACTAACTAGTCACTGGTTCACAATACACCGAAAACCAAAAACAAAACCTCTCATTCATACAAGGCCGTAAGTCGTGATCGACCAGTGTAGGCTGTATTTGCCGATAATCGAGGAACAATTAAAATGTCAAGGTTTTCGATCGAAGTTTGGTACGCCGTTCTCTCCAGGTGGGAAATAAGTGTAGGGGGAGGTAGAGACATTAGCAACGTCGCAGTGCATGTATGTCACAGTCGCACAGACAAGACAGAGCTTCCCCTGGCAGGAAGGCAGCATCACCAAACTTCACTACATCTTTGTCCGTTTCCTCTCTTACCACTTGAGCGCTCGTTTCTGGGTGCAGCCGCCGCGGCCGCGCCTCCTGTTGCGGCCGCACAGGCTCCATTTTCCTGCTCATCTCCGCTACTGTTAGTGCGTTTGCTTTTCTTTCCCTTGTTGTTCTTCTGGTTGGGCATTTTACAGGATTCGGATGTCAGGGTTATTTTCGACCTCTATCAGCGGCTGCTGTCAACGCTGTCTGACATTTCTGTGGACTCCATTTCTGCAGTGGGCTCTGGTGTTTCTGCAGTGTTTTTCTCTTTGTGTTGTTGTAAGTCTCCTCGTGGACGACCGGGAGGTTTTTGTGCAGCTCTGACAGCAGCAGTTTTAACGAATTAGCTGCTATAACCTTTAAGAGCGAAGGCGTGTCCGTCTCTTGTTTTGATTCCTGCTCTGCTGTTTTCTTCCACCCTCTGACGTCACAGGACCCGCCCCCTGCCATTGGCTGTCAAAGACTTAGGGCTGCGTTTAAGAGCTGTGGGAAAGTCCGGATTTTACAACTTCAAATGCTTTTGTTAGTTGATCGAAAGAAAATTAATAAGTAGCTACTTTGATAATCGATTCATCTGTTCCATTTTTTTCAAGCTAGGGCTAGATTCTTAAACGTCAGGATTTGTTAAAAGAAAAATAATAGTTAAATTAATATGGTTATAAGCTAAATATCGTTTGGTTTTGGGCTGTTGGTGATATATCACCTTTGTCTCTTCAATCAATGAATCAAAAAATAAATTATAAATAATAACAATAGTTAGTTGAAGCAAGATTTTGTGTGCATATTACATGATAATGTCCAAATCACCAAAAGAGTTCGCACACCGAAATCAATGACATATTTCCTCTTATTTAAATGATCAAATATGAGCACAGGAGGAGATGCACAGATATTTCAGCTATGCCTCCTTCAGTTTGAAACAATCCTTCATGGTTGGATCCTTTCAACTTTCACCAATGAGTGTCAGACTTTGGTAATAAGTTGGCTGACACTCATTGTCTTTGACTGCCATTAATTCCAACTAAATAAAACCTTTTTGTGCTTTGGACTTTAACTCTTGCCGTATGCACCTCAAGTGTCCTTTTTTTTTCTTTTTTAGCTCAGTGATCTAAGTAACTGGAAAAAGCTACTTTTTTCAAACCATTGGACATTGGTTAGTATGATACACAAGAAAAAATGCAAATAAATGTATGTAAAGTTGTGAAAAACAACTGTACTTATTACCAATTATTCTAGTACTATTATTTTTTACTCCATAAGACTTCTTCATTACTCATCCTCCTATGCTTTATCAAAAAGGTGCTGGTGTCATCAAATAATCAAATAGCAAGTTTGAAAGTGAGAGTAAAAACAACAACATTTGTGGTGATGAAGTCCCGTTTCTCCAGGCTCTGACTTGGTGGTTGTCATCAGCAAGTAATCACAGTGAATACAGTGTTGTCATAGATAAATGTAGGGAATTAATTATTCTCACCAAAATAAAGAAAAACAAAATAAAAAAATAAAAAAAATCCTCTTTTTGACCACAACCTTTAAACTCTCCTAGGAAGAAACAGCAACTGGCTACACCTGCTAAAAACAGAACAGAAGATAACCATGGTGACACCAAAGTGCAGTTGCAGCATCTGGGCAGTGTTAAACAATTTCAAGTTACTGAAATCTGCTGTGTCAGATATTCCCACAGTACCTCAGTGCAGCAGCAGACTCAGCTAAGAGACTGGAGACTATAAAGTTGATGAGAAGAAGTGCTCAGCACCACAGACCTGTGGGGGAGGTATCACTGTCTTATTTAGCACTATGACAGCAGATATTTTATCAGCCTAGGTGGTGCTATTTCAAGGCTGAATTTCTCATCCTGTCTCCTACATGCAGTAAATTTAACTTGATAGAATTCACTTAGGGATTGCTTGTAGCTTACACATGCAGTTTAGTGAAATAGAATATTTTAAATCAATTCAAATCTCTGTGCATTACCTGGAGCAAGTGATAAATGCATCAGAAAATACCTATACCATCAATGGTATTAAAGTTTAACTAAATATTTTACACACCTTTTTTTTTTGGAGAGATGGAGGCACCAAACTCCATTTATAAATCTGACAATTTAAGACTACTTACTGTTGAAACCCGTTAAAGCATGACTAAAAACGATTTATGGAACAATAGCTGCTCCTCTCCAATTCCACTTGCACCCAACACACCAAGAGACACCTGTATTCATACGTCAGTTTGTTCGCCTTTAACCACAAACTTCTTGCAACAAAACACACCATAAGGGTCCCTAAAAATCAGTGTAAACCAATTACACAAACTGTGATTCCAGTGCTGTTATGTACTAGTTATTTTGATAAAATTAGCGTAATATAAGCTTCTCACATTTCCCAAGATTGTCACTTTTCAATGTCTGCTACAAATCAAAACAACCCAGTCAAGCAATAATTTTGCATGTCTCGTCTCAGTATCACACATTTGGTTTTATGAGTACAGTAAGCCTGATAATAATGTGAGTAAATGTGTAAATGTGAGTCCAAGCCTGTTTTAAGATCAGGTTATATTTGAAAAATCACACATCAGAGCAGGCCAAACGCTTGAAGTGTAAAGATTTTATTCTTCCAAGTGTATTCCACAGTAACAGACACCTCCGTTCTTTCAGGAATGTGTTATTGCCACTACAAAAGACAGTGATGACGCACTCGAACACGTCATGCAGGCATCCCCTTAGTTCACAGAAATGGCTCGAGGTATTGGCACTGATCGGATCATAACTTTCTCCTCTTGCTAAATGCTGATTTGTGATTGGCACTTTTTCGAAAGCCATCTGAAACTCACACCAGGGAGACACAGTGAGCGCAACAAAAGCAGGATAACCTTAAAATCCAAAATGACCGTGATGCAAGCAGCATGTTTCTTCCTCTCTCTTGCTTTTCTCTATTATTTCCACAACTTTTACTGACTTCTACTTAGCCCATTAGTTTACTCATGATGATTATATTTCACGTGATTGATCTTTTCTTTTCCAGGCTACATTTCAGTTTCGTTCATAATTAGAATATGATGAAGCTCATTCTCTTGATTTTTGGTCCTTCTGTGCAACAAACACTGTCAAAAGAACAATCGAGAGAATGGTCTCTTATACCGTTTAGACAAAAAATATCAAGTCAAACTTCATCAAACAACCAACACCTGAACCTAAAAGATTTAGCTATAGGTTGACACAACAGCAGTGAATGTGACATGGGCCATATAAGACTTGCAGACCAGGTGTCGCTTCACGAGGTTGATAATTTGTCACTGTGAGAAGCAAATAACTGTCTGGTGTACGGGTCATAACAAGAACAAGGCCCAATATGTAATGAGGAATAGAACTAAAAGTTTGATATTACGCAGCTGAGAACAACAGCTGCAGAGTAGATGTTGCGTTCAAGCCCGTTTGATTGTTGCTCCTTCCTGTGTATGTTACAGTTACCGAAGTTATGGAAACTCAAATGGTCAAAATTAAATAAATGCATATGATATTACTAAATTAATTGCAGGAGTAAACATAGATAAAATATGAAATATAACCATTGCGAAAGAATCCAAAACATTTTTACAACTTTGAAATGTTTTTCACAATAAAAAGGCTTTTTTTTTTTTTTTTGTCCATTTTGTCATGAATGCCAGGCAAATACTGTACTAAATGAAAAGTGGCATTATGAAATTAAATGGTCACTTAGAAAAATGGCTTTTGAAATAAAAATGGACTTTACAAAAAGCTACTTTTTGAAATAAAAACTGCTGGAATTAAATAAAAATGACATGAAATGTTATTGTGAAAAGAAGCAGGATAAATAACATTTCATATTTCTGACAAGAGTTTATTTTCAATTAGATTATTTCACAATTATTTCACATTCCTTGTTTTATTACATGTATTGTCTGTATTAATTCATATGATTAGTTATTCAATTTTGACCACTTTGAGCCTCCATAGTCAGCGACGGTAATTGGTTTTCAGATATTTTTGCTTATAATTTTGCAAGTGGTGAGTTTTTGAGATGGTGGGAAACAGAGAAAAGTGGTCACACCTGTTATGCAAGTTTCATTGGACCTACAGTACAAAATAAAAAATGCTAAAATTAAAAAAAAAAAAAAAAAAAACCTAATAAAACTATTAATCCACATCTTGTGTCACAAGTAAGACACCTAATTTAAGCCATAGGACAGTTATTTAACATATTTTGGTCGTGTTTGGTCCTGAGAATCATTACAAATTCATCTTTTGCATTTGGCACCAATCACCCTGTAATGATACATCAATAAAAATTGCACGAGAAATACATTCGCCATTTGTTAATCAACTATTTCTTATGAAAGGCAAGTTCTGGAGTTTGTTTAACAGAGAAAATTCATTATTGACCACATATAAAAAGATGGAATAAAAACTACTCTTGGACATTGCAATGAGTACAAAAAGGTGCAAAAGTCTTACTTAAAATGCACTTGCACTTGTCTCTGTAGTTTCTATGAAGGAATTGTTGTTATATTTCCAAAAGCACTGGTCTAATAACGTCTTTTTAAAAAGTCCACAAGAGGTAGTATAAATGGCTCATGTAAACAATAAATGGAACAGCCATTTGGCGACACTGTTGGTGGATACGCACTATACACTGTTTTAAAGTTGCACTAGATCAATATGTGAAAAGAACACTCATTACAATACATGATTTTTGGGCAATGAGGTCTGACTGTAGCTCCCGCTGCCACTTGAGGCTGATAAAGGGAGAATTTTCTAGTGCAGCTTTAAGTATCTCTTACAAACCGTTTGTAAAGATCAGAGTGCCAATTAGACCTTTAAAGAAGAAGTCTGTTAAAGTTGCTAAATCTAACCAGTATCTTGTCCTGTGTGTCCATTGTTATGACACTGATATCATCAAGAGAGGCATTTAGTTGTAATAATTACCTTATACTGTACTTTTCCCATAATTAACAAAAAATATCCAAATGAATGTGTTGAAGAAACTATTACATTCCTGATTTGTGTGATTATAGTCTTGAGAGTGTATCAACGTGGCATTTCAGACCTGCGGTTGATAAAATGGCAGCGCCTGAGAAAGAGAGAAACACCACTTTTCCTTGTCATCTGAAACTATCGATGGGGCTGTTGGTAAGCCTATGAAAACCCTAAAATATTCTCAAATTTGGCACAATGAAATCAAATGAAATCGTACGCAGACATGCCAGCTGGGTACGTTAACATACTGTTAGGTCTAATCTGTTTGGCCATTGAGTTTGAGTTTAAATACTGAGCCTTTAAACATGGAGGAAGATGACTGAAAACAGAAGCTCAGTGACAAGCCGGTACACTACAGAAACTCAGTATTTGGAAGGATTCAGTGAGACCCACAGTTGCTAGTGGGCCGCCCCGTCCAAATATCGCTCTCATTCTTGGAGCAGGACGATATCAACGTTGTCATGGACGCCCTGCAGAAGCAACTCGCCCTGGAAGTCGATCACCTTCTTCTTCTTGGCAGCCTTCAGGGTGCCCACCAATGCCTCGAAGATATTGGCACAACGGTCGTCATTAAACAACACTCCAAACTTCACGGTGGTTTGACCGTCAGCATCTGAAATGAGAAGTTAGCAACAACTGTGTAAATTGATTTCCTGACAATCCTACAATATTTAAATAATAATCCTTACCATTATCGTTAAAATGATTGACTTGGGATTGTTCACACTTTACTGCTGTTGTTGTTGTCACACCAAATAACAGCTATGATTGCTGTGCTTGTGGCAAATTATCAGTTTATTAACAAGAGAAATACAAACAGCAAACAAACACTCCCTTTTAATTGGTTGAGTTTATTATGTCAGTGTCAATATTGGGTTTTACCTAAATGTAACTGCTAGCGATGATAGCTTTAGGGCTGCAACTACCAATTCCTTTCATTATCATTTAATCTGTTGATTTGATTACAACAAATTGATGAAATTCAGAATCAAGATGCAAAAATGATGCACATGCTCATATTAAATCTTCAGGTTGCTTGTTTTATATGAGCAACTGTCCAAACCCCAAAGATACTGAGTTTACAACGCTATGAAGAAGAGAAATGCAGCAAATTGTTGATTAGTTTACTGTTGATCGATTAATTGACTAATGGTTTCAGCACTAAGTGGCTTTGCAGCAATTTTAACACTGATTTGTCAGCAGACCGTTCTTCTCACCAAGTGGGATAACATGGCTATTAGAAATTCCTGATACGACTTAAATGCGGCATTGGCGTCAAACATAGAGGCATGAAAAATAGACTCTACTGAAAGTGAAAAAGACACAGGCAGGCATGAGACAAGACAATCATAAGAGTACAAATACGTACAAGCACAAAGTGTGTAAATATACATCTGAGGCAATGTACCACTGTTACTGTGGTGAGTAAATAAAACTGACATAACTGTTGTACCTTAAAGCCCTCAGCTAGAGAGACTCAATTTCTTTATATACACACACACACACACACACACACACACACACACACATATACACATACACACATACACATACACACACATATAATAAATAACTGCATTGACTCTTGAGAAAAGGTGTGTCTGCGTCTGCTGTGGAAAATGGTCCAGTGAAATATTCTCGAGGCAGTGTGACCTGGTATATTCATGTATCCAGCATTAGGAGTGGTGAACTAGAACTACTGATCAACATCACATGACTGCATGTCAATAAAAACTCATGAACAGACTTAAGAACAGTTGAGCTATGGTCAAGTACTTCAAGAATACAGAGAATGAAACATGTGTCCTATAGAGAGTCTTAGCATGGACTCACTTTTACTGCCGAGTCGCTGAATCTCCTCCACCAGCAGATTTACTTCGTGAGCGACATTCATTGTTGCTATAGGGGGAAAAAATTGATGAACAAGAGAAATATTTTAATCAAAACAGACTTAGCTTGTAATAAGTCCTCTGGCTTCTTTAAAGGTTCAATACAATTTATCAAATGCAGTTATCCCTAGTACATAACTCTCATGAGCAGGGAGTGCCCACCAAGCCAAACTATATACAAGATCGTGCCATTAAAATGTTGTGTTGCCTCTATTAAACACTGAATGCCTTCTTAAATGTAGCATCTTATTCATCAAGGTCCATCCCTCAAATCGGCAAAAATTTAATCCAGCAAGCAGAATCACTTTCAATTAAATGTTCAATTTCCAAACTGACATCATGGGCACTTTCAGCAAACCAAGTGTGAAATGATTTTAGGAGTATTTATTTAAGTCAAATTAAGTGCTGCTTGGTGATCAACTGAATGCCGAATATTGAAAAAGAGGGTAGTAATTCAGACTAAAATTAAATTTTTAATCTCCCGATGACTGAATTGGATTATCAACAAGGCAATGGCATTTTTGACAGATTAGTAAACGCAGTCTTGGACTGAGAGTTTCTCCTTAAAAGAAAAAAAAAGGAATCATGACTAAGAATTACTAAAGCGTTTAATTTCCATTAACCAATCATAGACAAAAACACTCGCACAAACGCCACATTTAATATGACAATTGACTGTGCAGCATTCAGCGGAACGTAACAAGCTGCAACATGGATAGGGCGAACTATCAATGCGGAAATAGAGGATTAGCGCTCAGAGCTAGCCATCACAAGGCACGAATGCTTGTTGTAATTCATTATTTTGGGTGAGGGATATTCATTCATATGTGGGAATTCATTCATGTGTTCTCAACCCGGTGATGTTTTCCATGACTTTAGACGCAAAAGAGGATTTTCCACTTAGCAGCGGATATGAGCTCGCCGGTAACGTTAGCTTCTAGCCAAATGATCTGCTGAGGGAGGACCGAGGAGTTGCTGAGATCGCTAAATGTGTAGTGGTAAAAAAAAAAAAAAAAATCAACCCAAGTCAACAGAAAACAAGCTTAAAAAAACATGTTTACATGTACATAATTACCTTGGTTCTTCTAATTCGTTTTCCTTGTAATGAGGTGATGGACGACTTTCTGATGAATCGGCACCACCGCCGGATAATGTCGCTAGATTCAGGGTCAGCTCGGAAAATTTCCACTATACTGATTTTATAGAACAAATGATCAAGTGGCACAGAACTCACTTAAAACCATTTCCGTGTATGCTTCTTATGCTGCTGTATGTGTCACATAAACATGAAAAAAAAATTCATATACACAAATCAAAGTGTTAAAATACTGAAACATAGAACCAACAAGACTATGTTGAAGTTGTCTTGAAAAGCACAACTTTCCCATAACACTTGAAGGCACCATAAAAGCTCCTTTGAATTCATGGTGACACATAGCCATATTTTCACAGGCACTGCCCCATATATGGCAAAGAAGAGGTAGGAGTTGTCTTGTGTTTGTTTTCTGCCTCTGCATAAAGGTTTACCTTTTCTAGTCATCTCAGAGCGGCTGACACAGCTGATAAAACAGGTGTTCATTAAGCAAAAAGGCAAACTCTCACCACAAAATTGAAATAGCTGTTGATATCAGGCCATTATAATAATTTAATGTGCTCAATATCTGCACAACTGTGGGTTCTTAAAGGCACAAAGAACACACACGAACTCTGCAAGTGATTGCATTTTGAGCAGATTAAAATTGTCAATTTTTCTTCACATCTTTCTTTGTATTTCCACACGCATTTGTTCGGGATGCCTGCTTTTACATAGTTTCTTAGTTATTTCATCACCATCCTGTTCCTTTCTGGTCTCCGGCCTCTGCAGCTCATCAGCATGACCCCTTCTTTGTCCCTATCTCCCTCTGTGCCTGGGGTCAGCAGTTAGTTTCAACCATGGGCCAATTCGTCAGTGCCAGTGTCTTCCAGGTGCAGTGGAAGATGTTTAATTGATTGTTGTTTAATTGTTATTTAAGAATAAAATCAATTCATAAAACTGGTCACTTTAGGATTGTGTCCCAGGGCAGATGAAATTTCTACCGCAAATTGAAAGCTGACAGAGTTTCAGCAGTGTATATTTTATTACATATTTATTTATTTTCTTTGTTTCATTCTTGGACTGTAGTCAGTAGATGTTTAAAGGTCAGATTTACATGTCTTTCTACATTACATTTGTGCAAAATCAAATAGAATGTATAAACAAGAACGAGAAAATCTCATTTGATGTCTGGGGTGGGATTTTTTTTACTGGAGGGCCAGATTTGGCCCATGGGCCACTGTTTGCCTGCCACTGCTATATACTTCTTCCCATTCCTTTCTTGCCATGTGTTTCTTGTTTCCTCTCCCTATGTCTCTCCCTCCTTCACCACGAGTCTGGATTACCAACTGGGTAAGCAGGTAGCTGTCGTGGGCCCCCAGAACTCCAGGTGCTCTGACAGCTACTGTATGTCAACTTGTTTGTGCTAGTGAACTGGAAATGTGGTTGTATGCACCACCAAAGTACAGCATCAAGAGGCACGATGAGGACCTAAGATCTGTTATCTGTTATCTGATCTTAAGGCCCTGTTTGGAGGGGTGTTTGTGTTAAAAGGTTGTCTAATGACCATCATTGTTTCAGTTTTGTGTCTAGTGTTGCATATTCCTAATTATGCATGTTGATAATGAAATACCATACACAAATTTGTGGCAAGGTAGTATTCTAACAAAGAAAATCTGAGCACATTGCAAATGTGGGCCCACAGCTCATTTTTGCCCTTAATGCCTCCCAGCAAGTTAATCTAACCATGGTCCCAAACTGACAGGAACACAATAAAGTTTTATTTCTTTATTCATTTCTTATTTTTATTAAATCATAGCTTTCAATTCATTCGTGGATTTAGCGCAGCTTTTATTTTGAAATCACTCATCCGGGTCCCTGCAGGCCAAGCAAGCTCGCGCTGATTCGGACAGTAGCCCAGTGACGTCGCGAGACATCAAGCTAGCTATAAATCACACGAGAGTAGACCGGAAGTTTAAAGAATTCCACTTCAGAATAAAATTTTTATGTTTTTCATAGTTTTTATTGAATACATGCCAGATGATCCTCCTGTTAGAAAAGTGTTCTTTGATGTATATGTTTCGTAGGTACAAATAATTAAAGTATTGTTAAAAAATCTTTTTTTGTCATTCATGAAAACTAATTTTCAAGCTTCTCATCTGGCAGAATTATCACAATATTTTGTTTCTAAAGAGGTTAAATGGATTGTTGTCTTTGTAAATGAAGACATAACCTGCCAGTGGACTGCAGAGCAGTCTCTGCTTGCCTCTCCATCTCTGTGCAATGTGAGCAGTTTTCCCATGTATGTGTCCCTCTATTGACCCCGATTATACATGGGAGTTTTATTATTATTAAATGATTAGCTGATTAATTGATTAGTTGATAGACAGAATTGATAACTGATTAATAATTTATGTTTCTTTTTGAAAAAAAAATTCACTTGTTCCAGCCTCTAAAATGTTAATATATGTTTTCTTCCCTGGTTTTCTACATCTTTGGATGTTTGACTCTTGGTCAGACAAAGCAAGTTATTAGAATATGTTCACTTACACATCAGTCTTGGGCAATCATTAAATTATTAAAGACAACAATTATCAGATCTATTGATAATGGAAATATCCATTGGTTGCTTCCCTACAGTACACCTATGATAGAATAATAGAGCATTGCCTGAGATTTTCTTTGTGTTAGTTATTTGACTCAGAAAAAAAACAGAAGCCACTTAATAAAACATTTTACAACAAACAACCACAATATAAACTAATACAATTCAAACCTTAAAACTATAGTCCCTCTACAAGACTGGGGACATAGTTGATATTGTAGTTCAGTGGTACTGTACTGTAACTGTGTAGACCTAAATTATATGAGGTAAACCTGGAGCTTTTGGAGACAGTGGGGATCTTTGCCTAGTTGAAATGGTTTTGAGTGTTGGTAAAATTACCACTGTAGTTGAGGTACCTGAGAACAGGTCTTTTAATTTGAAGACTCGTACCGGAAGTCTTCGGTTAGCTCGGAGTGGCTTGACACTGGTGGTAGGAATGGCGGCTATGATCACTAGAGGAAGGAACCCAAAGACCCTGAAACTTTACGTCTAACGGCCCCGCAGAGGAATTTGTCCCTAACGAAACGCAGAAACGCCTTCCCGTAGCGGTTTAAAGGGAGAGGAAGTGATATAACGTGAGATTAACGCGGTAGTTGTCCCAACTGAGCGACTCGCCAGTTAGCATAACGTTAGTGCCACTGACTTTGAATCAAGGTAGCTGTTAGCTCGCTGCTCTACTAGCCAGCTGTTGGCTGCTTGGCTTGGCTTGGCTGGCCCAACAAGTTAACTAAGTGATTAACTGTATGAAAGCGTTCAGTAATTGAATCGTGAAGTGGGAATCGGCTCTCTTTGTCTACAGGCACTATTAGGGACTTTTGCAGAGAGCGGAATCAGACGACAACAAGTCGACTCAGCGCGTTGTGAACATTATTATTCCAGCTAACCTCTGCGCTAGCTAGTGCACTAACGCTAGCTAAGTTGGGATCCTGAAGTCTCGCCCATTTTTTGGATCCTGCCCCAGCCATTGGCTAAGGGCTAATCAACAGCCAACTAGTCTGGTTTTCAGGTCCGATTGGTACTACGATGGAAAGTCTAACGTTGACTGATGTCGAACAGAAATATTACTCGGATTTGTTCGTTTACTGCGACACGGACAACACGAAAAAAGTGGCTTCTAATGGGAGAGTTCTTGACCTTTTCCGGGCGGCCCAGCTACCCAGCGAAGTTGTCCTGCAGGTAAGCTAGCGTTAGCGACTGCCAGTTTTTTAGTGTGATCAATAGACTGCGAGACTGGCCACGAAACGTACACCTGTTAATGGATATTTTGCAAACTTGTGCGGCTGTCAGAACTGACCTGTCAGCCAGTTAAGCTATCGTTAGCCCTGGTGGTTAGCAATGCTGCGCAGCAAAAGAGACACACCTTCTTCTGGCTAATGTTAGCCTTAGCCAAAGAGAGTAGGCAGCCAAGTCACATAGTCAACCTTAGTTCAAAAACTGTGGCTCAAATCAACATCTTATACATATAACACAAGCTGCTTGTTCTGTTTTCTGCATGGGCATGTGTTGAACAGCGACACAACGGAGCAAATCATGTCATCAACACCCCTTGCTTCAGATTACTGCCCACTCTTTCCTGTATTTTCACTCCATGAACATCTGCTTTTTTTGTTCGTTACTGGGTAGAGCTGACATGTTCGAAATGCGGACCCAATGTTACAGCGTCCGTTTGTAAATGTGATTTATAGAAGTTGTCACTTAACATAGACTGCCTCAAAAATCCACGACGGAAGAGTCTGTTTCTTACACAGACTTTGCAAATATGTGCTGACCCACAGATATATTTGTCTCTTGTCAGATCACAATATTCATGTTGTAGTTCCACATTGAATAATCCCACACAGACCTTCCCTGCTCAGTCCGTTAACTGTGAGTTATGAGAAGCCAGTTAAACAGCAGCAGCCCATTCTTGTGATTTCAGGTCTCTCAGCAGGCCAATATTTGCAGTTTGTGAGTCAGCATCCTTTTCAAGGTCAACAAGGGGAGCTGTGTGGTGGAAGAATTAGGCAGTGTTGTAATCCTCTACTTTCAAAATGTGCACTCAACACTGCTGTGGCCTGTGAGACGCATACAGCTACCATATCATGTTGTAACAGGCTGAGAAAAGTGACTGGTGCTTTGTATCCACTCATACTCAGAATAAGTTCTTTGTCAGCAAGAAAGCGATCAGTCAGCTGTGGTGGGCTGTCGGTGCTGTGGCTCACTGTGCTGAAGGACAGGCACCTAAGGAGTCATCCTACTGTTATGAAGTTTAACCCGCTGGGTATTAATCATCCACCAACATCCACCACAACACAATATGCACTGTCACTAGAAAATTCTTTATTTTCCATGTGCCTCTTTGCACATTATAAACATTTTGTATTTTATGTTTTGCTACTCAGTCTACCATTTTGCACAAAGCCTATTCATCGTCACGTCAAGTCGACAAAATATGTGATAATCAGGCTTATCACTCGTGAGACCCACTGAACATCTGCCAGTAAATGAGACTCTCGCTTGTGTTGTTTTTGTCAGATTAAACCAGGTAAACTGCATCACAAACTTTGTCAAGAGTTGTGTGTGTTATTATATTTTACATGGTCAGGAAGTCTTTGGACTTCAGTACGACATATTCAGTGTTTACACTGTTGCTTCCTGACCGCTTTATTCTTGTGTCTCTCTTAAATGTTTGAAAATGTAAAGGTATAAACTTTGCGAGAGAATATCACTTGTTCTCGTCTCTTTATCAGCAAGGGTTCATATCAAGAGTTTCAGATGAACACAATGTTGTTAACTGTTCCTCCTTGTCCATGCGTGTGGGTTTAGATCACAGAACTATGTGGAGCCACTCGCCTGGGTCACTTCGGGAGGAGCCAGTTCTACATCGCTCTCAAGCTCATAGCCATCGCCCAGTCCGGGCTTCCCCTGAGGGTGGAAAGCCTCAACTCGGGTGAGTCCACAGTTGAATTCAATCACTGTCACTGTTTGGCACCTTTTTTGGCCTCTTCGCTTTCTTCATAACCCCTTGAAGACCAGCAAGAACAGACTCCCCAAAAAATACCATCACATACCAGCACACTAGGTTCTCTGGCAGGTGCCACCAGATTTTTCTCTTTCATTAAAATCTTTGAGTACATCAGAGTGTTCTTCTCTTTTTGTTGCTCCATCCTAGCAAAAATGTGTTTTTATCTCAGAGTTGATGACTTATTGAATTTTGAGGAGATCATGGGTTAGGGAGCACAGGGCTTTTATTTTTTAGATTTTTAAAAATATGTAATATGCTCAGACAAAGATTAAATAAGCCAGTTACTGGATTTTTCTGTGGTTTAACAGGACGAACTTTCATGCTTGTTGCACTTCTTTTTGGTGTATAATTTATTTGGAGATTTGCACATAAATGTTTCAAAGCTCCAAAGAAAGTAGTCTTTACTAGACCAGAACGAAAGACAGGCCTACACATTAAAGAAAAAAAATCAGTGGACACATCATCTGCTGTTTAATCAGTTAGTCATAAATCAAAGAGCTGGTGGTTTGGTCACCAGCTCCTCCAGTCCACGTGCCCCTGAGCAGCCCCCTGTTGATTATGTACAGGGAAATTGGGGAGTTGATCCCTTTGGACAAGAGCATCTTATCAGAAATTAACACATTTAATGCCAGCCCTGCCAGTTCTGCACTGCAGGTTGCAGTTGCCCAATGTTTGAGCAGCTTCCGCTAGTTTCTATTTCTTAACGAAATAGAGTTTGCAGTGTAAACCCTTCAGGCTTTTACTGCAAAATTGAAATTTTCTTGTTTGCATTTGGTGTGACTTCTCTCAAAATACACAAGGGAAGATTACACCCACTGCTTTAAGTTACTTGTTTTTGGTTGAAATATTGCAACATGAAGTTGGGAAATGATTTCATAATTTGATTTAAAAAAAATATATATATAAGGAACCACAGAGACCAGCCACTTCCTTATAGCAGAAATGGACACAGTGTACAATGTTGTGGTTATTGCATTTGGGGATGTTTCGACTTTGACAAACTTTCTCTCTTTAAAGTCGATGCTGTCTCAGAAGTAGACGCAGTCAATTGCAGATAGAACTGGTTAAAAGTGTTCATTTTCTTTGTGCTACCAAAAAACCCGAAGTCACCTCAGTCAGCTGAGATACAGTGTTGAATTGAAAGTTAAACCATTTCAGGAGCTAAAGCTTCACAGGTGAATGGTGAGAATTCAGACAAAAAGTTATATATGTAGAATATGTGTATAATGTTGATTCAGTCGCGCTGTGCTTTCTAGAAGACAGTCAGTTGTGCACATTAGTCCAGTGTTTGCTGCGTCATGCATTAAGATCTATGTGGCCACCGCACATTGTCTCTTTCAGTTGAGTTGAACCCACAGGTCTGCTGTTTACTGTAATGGGACCGTCACTTGTTCAAAGATAATTTGACCAGATTAGTTCATTTTCATTTGTGAATGTACATATATTTTAGGTGAGTTTTAGGGTTGCAGCTAATGATAAAATAATAATAATTTTCTTAATCATTCAGCCAACATTAGCTTATTACAGATATTGAAATTAGTTTTCACCATTTCATAGTTTGTCCTCCAGAGACCACAGACAAGATTTTTCACAGAGAAATGTACCAGTCTGTATCAAGATTGTGATTTGTATAAAAAAGAAAAAAAAAACGTCTCAGCATCAGAAACTTTTCACATGTGATTATGGCTGATCATGAGAATCCAGTGGAACACACACCTAATTTATTTCCTTTCCTGCTCAGTGGGCACAGTGAGGTTTTAATCAGAAATCATTTTTATCTATGTTTTATACATCTTAATCTTTTTGTCATGTCTGTCTTTGTAACTGGTTTTACTCATTTCTGACTTTCTCATTTTATTCATGTTTTTTTTATTGCTTGTTTTGTGTAAATACTTTGTAACTCTGATTTTGAGAAGATAAATTAGTCAGAAAATTTATACATTTTCAGTGCTGCAATGCTAGAAGTTAAAAGCATATAAAACCCCCCACATCTGTCTGTAACAATAAGTTCAAAGTTTTGTTGTTAGTCATGTGGCAGAACAAAAGTAAGGGTTCTTTTCTATTTTCACTGTTTTGCTCTGACATTCGGCATCGTACAGATCTGCAGTAGAAGACACAGACACAACATTTACTGCAGCAGCAGTATCTTGAATAGACCAGAGTTCAGCATTTGTTCATTTTGAGGAAGCAGCCCCACTCGCTCTGAAAGGGAGACTGTCACGCTGTTGTCATTATACAGCTGCCACTTTCTGCATAAACACCTATAAACCACAGCTGATTGCAAAAAGTCCATGCTCTTTCTCTAAGAATTCTGGGAAATGTAGGGAGTCGATACCTGAAGTTGAAGTAGACGAAGGAAAAGGGCTGCACCAAAAAAGTAAAGCACTAAACTTCACAGACTTTGAGCGTAGTGGAGAGTGACTTTTGCTCTTCAAGCCTCTTTCCTGAAATCAATAGGAAATCATTCCTCTAATCCTCTGAACGGATTCCTGTCTCACCAGTCAAGGACCTGCCGCTGCCCAGGTTTGTGGTGGGGAAGAACGAGGCAGAGGCGAGGCACGCAGCGCTCTACCAGGACACAGACAGCCAGGGTTTGTACCCAGCCTCTGCTACTGCAGTAATACCCAGACCACCAGGAAGGGGACACCAGAACAAGAAAGGTCCCCCATCCTCAGCTTCACTTCCTGTCCATGAGGTCGTCCAGCCCCTGGCACCCAGCATAGAACCACAGGTGTGTTATTCTATTATTCTTGTGTAAGCATGACTCTTTTAATATGCTCTCTTCCTTATCTTTACCTTTAATTTATAAATCTGTGACCTATATATTAAATGAAAATATAGGTGAAGGCTTGAGGTTGCTTTGTTTTCCCACAGTTCTTCAGTAACAGCATTAAATATGGACATTACTATTATTTATCTTTTGGCCAACATCGTGCACACATTTTATTTCTCACAAAGCTGAAACCAGCAGTTACTAGAGATAAACTACTGGAATACTACTGCATTTCCTGTGTTGTTTCCTGTGTACGTTTGATTGCTTTTAACTCATAATACAGCAGTTTTCTGCTGTCGTGTACATAGACCTCTTCCTCAACTCTTATCTATTTGCATCTGTTGTGAAATGCTCACTTAGTGGTTGCTTGAACATCCCATATCAGATAAAAAAACGTTTGAGGCAGCATTTATTGGCCTTTACTTGGCTTGAATGTGGCATATTCAAGATTGAAACCCTATAGTAAGACAGTGGTGGCGACACTTCTGCACACTGAGCTTCTGTTACTTGAATGTGTGTCAAATAAGATGCATAAGATTTGTGGCATTTCTAATTGTTCTTATTCGATTTGGTTTTTATGTTTAATGAATGCATATCTTTCCATCTGCACATGTATCTCATGTGTTTGATTTGCATTTCTATCCATTGCTAGCCCGAACCGACGTCCCCGGTGGTCTCCCCTCATCAGTCTCCCCCCTCCTCCCCTCCCTCCTGGAGGAAACACAAGAGGCAGCACAGCGGAGGAAACGCAGACAGACAGCCGGTGGTGGCTGCAACTGGAGCCGTGTGGACGCAGTTCAGAGAACCACAAACAGGTAACATCCACTGACCTACTGCTGTCCAGTGGTTGTTCCTTAATAAGAGTAGTACCATGTTCACAGAGTTATTGCTGAGGTCAGCAATAAGGTTCAGCCGTGGGCCAGTTTTGTTACCATGGTTCATTTGGGGTGCCAGCGTTTTGCTGGTATGGTGGAAACGGCATCTATGTTTTAATTATGTTTTCGTTTTTTGTGTTGGTAATTTATTTAAGAATAAAAACGATTGATAAAACTGATCATTTTAGGATTGTGTCCGAAGTCAAGTCATTTTACCACCATTAACTGAGGGCTGACAGAGTTACAGCAGTGTATGCTATTATTACTTTGGGATATGCAGATGTATTTTCCTCATTCACAAGTCTGGAGAGTGGGCAGTGTTAGATGTTTAAAGGTCAGATTTATTGTGAGTCTTGTATGTATTAAAAATTCTGTCTACAGTACATTTGGGAAAATCATGGTCTAATTTGGTGTAAACGAAAAAAAGGGAAAACTTCAGCTTATGTGCAGAGGCCAGATATTTTTGCCCATTAGCTGCTATTTTCCTACCACTAATTTAGCTGACATGCGAGCATGTTTTTTGAATTACAGCAGAGCGGCAGTTATTAGTCGATTGACAGCAACCACTTTGATGATTAGTTAATAGTTTTGAGTCATTTTTTGTCAGAAATAAATCATTTCTGGTGTCAGTTTTTTCCCAGTGTTTCAGATTTCATGTCTATTGTTGAGACAAAGCAACATGTTTGAAGATTGCACTCTGAGACTGACATTTTTTGCTATTTCCTGATGTTTTATAAGTCAAACGATTCAATTAATTGAGAAAGTAATCAACAGATTAATTGAGAATGATAAACAAAATAGTTTGTTGCAGCCCTGAGATAAAGTCAATAGGAAAAGGCCCCAAGTTGAATGACAATAGCCTCTTTTTAAGGAGAGTGAAGTAAATTTAATACTAACACCACATTTCTGTGACTAAAGCAAAACAGAAGCGGGGTTTCAGTCTTTGTGAGCCACAGGAGATGATAACAAAAAAAAAAGTGAGAGATGTGGCAGAAAAATTGCCACTAGTTTTGATTGTAGTGAAAAAGGAGTCAGCAAAGTGAAGCACGCTGGTTGTGTTTGTGTTCGCAGGTTGTACATACTGTTAATGGTGTTTGATGAGAATGGCAGTTCCTGCAGTTAGTCATTAGGGGAACAAAGTGGACATCACATGACCGGTGCCCTACTTTAGTCAGCATAAAATGTGGTGGAGAAAATCCAAAAAAGAACAGTGTGAAAATAATCTTTTCCAGAGCTGCAACAATTAATCGATTAGGCGATCAGTAGAAAATGAATTGATAATTGCTAAATATTTTTTGAAAGAAAAATTGCCAAACATGAGCTGACTCCAGCTTCTCAAATGTGAGAACTTTTAACTTTTTCTTTGTCATGTATGACAGTAAATCTTTGAACTGATGGACAAATAATACAAGTTATTGAAGTTGTTTAATGTTTAATTGATTTATCAAGAAAACAATCGTTAGCTCTCATCCTTTCCTATTAACACTTGCAGTATATATTTGTGTTGCATGGTATATGAATGTAGGCCTTAAATTCTTCTTCTCTCCAGGTCCAGTGTCCGGTGATGGCATGTGGTTGTCCCACTCGCCTCCTCCTCCGGGTCAGGAAAGTTGGGTCAGTTTCACAGCAGACACCCCGCCATCCAGCACGCTCCCCGCAATGCATCCCTCGTCAGTCCAGGTAGGGCAGTGTTGAGCTTTTGTGACAAAAAAAACACATAATTTTCCCAACATATGACAATTGCAGTCTGTGCAACTCTTGTTGCTGCTGCAATTGAGCTTCAGATTGCTGTGTGGGAAAGCAAACCTTCTCTTCAAGTCCTTATGAAGATGAACTAATCAGGCCAGGATTCAGCATTTTTCACCATTTGCTATGATGCTAAAAATGTTAGGGCTTTATTTAAAATTTGAAAAAGTCAACATATCTGTCTTTCCCCAATTGACTTCTATAAATGACACAGCAAAAATAAGCTTACATATCTGTGAGGCATGCATTTATAGCCTCAGGACAGACCGGTGACCTACAGGAAATAATACAACAGTTAATTTAGATTAGCAGGTTATGAGAATGGCTGTGCACTATATTGTGAAAGCTGTGTTAATCATAACGGTAAACATCATCGACCTCTTTCATCAGATGGAAAGACGCCATCAGTCACTGCAAACATAAAGCATGACATATCATACTAACCACAGTGGTGCTTCAGACACGAGCCAACATTTCAAATCAGTGCTCTCTATCTACCAGAGCTGCTAGATTGAATCTCATGCAGCTTGTGTGACACTGTTCAGGCAAATCAAGAAACTGTGAAGGCCCCTGTACCCAGTTGCTAATTTTAGACACTATGCTCAGTTTTAGCTTCTTAGGTAATGTTATTTACTTTTACAAAATTGTTATTCAGAGCTAAATAACATGTTTTGCTCAGAAGTTGGGATCTGATGATGGTCTGTCCTCTTAGTCTAGTTTCTCAGAATCATGTATGTATGGCTTTGATATAAAACAAAACATTAAGACACAAAGTAAAACATTGTGCTGAGCCACCTTTGTATCATATTCCTGAGAACTTGTAACAAGGTTTCGCAGTCGAATCTCTTGGCAGGAAGAAGCATACAGTACATACAGCCACTTAAATAGATAATAGTTTTACTGAATTATTCACCTTTCCCTTAACCTTTCCCTTCCATTGTTTCCCACAGGAAAGCACAACGATACGAACAGTGGCCTCAGCAGCGACGACTAACGAGATCCAACGACAGTCCAGCGGCTACGACGATCCGTGGAAGATCACGGACGAGCAGAGACAGTATTATATTAACCAATTCAAAACCATCCAGCCAGACCTCACCGGCTTCATACCTGGTAGGAAAATGCATAAATACACACACACACACACACACACACACACACACACACACACGCGAAACACAAGGTCCCTGTAAAACATCAATCGACTGAATCCTCTCCTTCGTGTTTCCAGGTTCAGCAGCAAAAGAGTTCTTCACCAAATCAAAACTACCGATTTTAGAGCTGTCGCATATTTGGTGAGTTGTCAGTCTGACGGCCACTGTCTCCGCTGTGTTCCTCTTGTCTTGAAGAGATTGAGTGTGTTGTCAAGTCTGAACCGTCTATGCACCTTTTGAATCGACTCGTTGACCATCATATGTTTAGCAGATAATCACTTTTATAACATGGTGGGTTAGAACAGGATGACAGTAAAACTCTCTTCAGTTATTTTGACAGTTCAACTTGAAATGGAAAGCTGGTAAAGGCTCTCCAGTCTATCAACCTGCCATTGTTTTGAAGGGGAATAAAATGTTCCTTGATAATCACATAGTTAATTACTACATATCAAAACCCAGTTGTCAGCTCACATTACCGTTCTTACAGGCTTGTTTGCGTAGGAGTAAAACCTTAACTTCAGTTGTCACAACTTGTTTTGAGCACGACTACAACGTGAGCTCTACACACTAAATCTTGTGTGGAAAAGGGCCTTTGTGTATAAATGGGCCATCTGCATAAATACTGATGCTACCTGCTTTCATGCACCCAGTACATCTAAATTAATAAAAGCAGAAGTCTGATAAAGTCAGATTTGAAAGGCAGCTGTCTTTACAAACCTGATCTATTTTGAATCAGCTCTGTGCTGCAGTGTCTGTTTGCCGCTGTGATGCATTTAGTCAGGACTGCAGACTCACTTATTTGTAATGTGTGTTTTGAAGGGAGCTGTCAGACTTCGATAAAGACGGAGCGCTGACCCTGGACGAGTTCTGCGCTGCATTCCACCTGGTTGTGGCCAGGAAGAATGGCTATGACCTCCCTGAGAAGCTGCCTGAGAGCCTGATGCCAAAGCTGATTGACCTGGATGACTCAGCAGGTACACAGTCTCTCTCTCTCTCTCTCTCTCTCTCTCTCTCTCTCTCTCTCTCTCTCTCTCGCTCCCTCCCCTAATTTCTCAACCTCAGGTCCCATAAAATCTGTCAGGTGACAGCACTGCAGTGTGACTGAACCTGCCTCTTTGTGGTTGTAGTGCATTCATTTGACCGGGCTGTGCTCTCCATGATGGAGCTAAATGTTCTGCTGCCTTTTTAACATGACATCCACTCATTAGCTGATAGCTGTTATTAGCATGTTTATTAAGCATTACGAGGTTGTGTCAGGAAGGGCATCTGGTGTAAAACCTATGCCAAATCAAATATGCGGATGGTGATCTGCTGTGGCGAGCCCTCATGGGAGCAGCTGAAGGACAATAACAACATTAACTTGTTAATATATTTTAGATAATTCACAGCAAAGTAAACAACACACATGATGCAACATTCTCAAGTGCAGACACAAAAACAAAAACTGCTTGGGTTTCAAGTTTCATCCTTGTAGACATGGGTTGCCAAATCTAATAACTGCAGAGTGTTTGTTTATCATTGCTATTTAGAGTCCCTGCCAAAACTGCTGTTTGTAAAACTGCTGATGTTAATATTATATCCTCTGAAGAACAGAGGTTAAAATATCAGAGAAACTGCAGATAATCACAGTGGATGCTGATGCAACTGGATCAGCAGCTTCAGTAATTTGTGTTTCTGCCACCACTGCCTCATCCCCCCACTACATGAAGGAAACTTCATGCTGGAATATTTTATGCAACTTCTAAAGACACATACCCAACAGTAATTACTAATACTTGGATTTTGCAGTTCATTTGTATTTATGCATTTCATATTTGTTGATTATCTGATCCATCCCATATATATATATATATATATGAATCTAACCTGTGTCGGATTTTTCCTACACAGAGGTCTCGGAGTCAAACACTGACGTCGGATACTCGGGCTCCCCGGTGGAGGTCACCCCCAACAAGTCTCCCTCCATGCCTTCACTCAACCAGGCCTGGCCAGAGATGAACCAGAGCAATGAGGTTCCAACATACACACATGATTACTTATTGTACTTTCACACATACTGTAAGCTCCCACATCTGTTTGCTTTTGCTTGTGTTTGCATTTGATTCATCTGAGATAATTGCTCAGGGTTAATTAGGTGACGTTGCCTTTTCTTTACCCATCCACCATGAATTGATCGCCACTCCATCCTCTTCATCATCAAACATAATTACTGATAATTCACCACCTCTTCTCTCACATCTCGGACTGTGGTGGCTCCGTGTGAAAGTCAGCGACGTCTGTTCTGTTTAGTTTCCATGCCGGCCGATGATGTCACGTCACCACGTGGTCTGTTGATGACTGGTGATGTCACATTATACGGATGGTCGTGGCTCAGACTGATGATGTAATTGTGTGATGTCACTGCACTGGCTGACTGACATGTTTTTTCTCACTGTCTGTCCTGTCTCCTGCAGCAGTGGGAGACGTTTAGCGAGCGCTCCTCCAGCTCACAAACTCTGACCCAATTTGACTCTAACATTGCACCAGCTGACCCTGTAAGTCAATCACTTAGTATGCATGGTTTCACCATTAATGGACAGACATTAACCCTCTCTGGATCTCTCTGCATTCTCTCTCTCTCTCTCTATCTGTCACTCTCTCTCTCTGTCACTCTATCACTCTGTCTGTGCATGATGTTCTTTCCAAATGCAGTCTGCTGCATCAGCAGTGGATAGCGTGTGTTGTGATTTGGCTGGCTTAGCTTCTATTGGACATCACCTTTTTTCCTACAGTGACATCCACCAATCATTAGTGCATTTTGCAGATTGTGACAGATAAATGTTACCATGTACAGTCATTGCTGTAAGTATTTAAAATTGTGTGGTGCTTTGTCATTTACTGTTGAACTGTCCAAGTACTTCGTTTTTTTTTTTTTTTTGACTCTCAGGCAGAATTTCTTCTACTTCCAGCAATAACTGGCTCTGGAATGGCTCTGCTCAATTAAACTGATGAAAAGTGCAGCATTGACAACCACAATTTGCAAGAGTGTGCATCTTTTTTAGATTGCTTTTAGGTGCTCAGTAATTCTGGGCAGAAATCCCAGCATAAAAATCACAGTGCAGAACCTAAACAATGACATTAAAGGTACACTTTAAATCCTGTAATTTATAACCTTTCCTTTTTTTCTCACAATTTGGAATGATAAATCGATGATCAGTCTTGTTTTGGAAAATATCAGGTGTAGACGTTTTACTAAGAGGCTCATGCAGTGCGGGAAGATGTATTCAAATCCTTAATTTAAATAAAAGCAGTTATACAGTGAAATGAAATATTCCATTACAACTAAAAGTCCTGCATTGAAAACGTCTCTTCCTGGTACTTTTAAGAAAATGTGCTGTAATTATACTCAAAAGTAAGTTTTTGTAATTCAGAAAAATGGCTACTATGAGTTTTACAGTGTTATATACACTATATTATTAGGTTACCATCACTGGTGCATTTAATAAAAGTAAGGAGCATTTTAATGTTGTAGTTAGATGAGTTGAACTATCTTATGTGTTGTCGGGTATTTTAATATAAGACCGTCATATATTATATATTTACACTGAGTAAAAGTAAAATCCCTGCTTTTAAATTGCAGTGCGGTATAAAGTAGTACGAAATGGAACAACTCAAATTTGTACTTAATTTCAGCTCCTCAACAACTGATAATAAAACGAATCACATCTCTATCCATGAAACTCTCTGTCTCCCTTCATAAAACTGCCCTGTCTCACCTTTGCTGTCGCTTTTGTCTGTCTGTCCTCCAGGACACAGCCATCGTTCATCCGGTTCCCATCCGGATGACACCCAGTAAGATCCACATGCAGGAGATGGAGCTGAAGAGGACCGGCAGCGGTGAGAAACCCTCTGGCTTCATGCCTGACTGTCGCCATCCTGATTTATAATAGAATAAATGAGAAGTGTAATCGGTTTTCTAACATTATGTGTGCAGCTTTATAACACAAGCTTTTCCTTTGCTCATTGACTGTTGTTGTAGATAGCATTACTAGGAGCTTTACACCACTTATGAATGTGGTTTAAAGCAAATATGGAAAAGAATTGAAACCTGCATAAGAAGTTATGTACTTGGTTGTATAAATAAATCTAATTCGAGCAACCTCGGTCTGAAAACATCTAGTTCCAACAATACAGTCAGTATGAGAGTTTATGTTTAACGCCTTAGAACAGTGTGTCCCTTGCTGAGTTTGCAACATGGGGAAGATAATTACAACCCAAAAGGCTGCCATTTGTTCTCAGTAAACAGAATCATTGTTGTCATTAAACATAATCAGACAGGACTTCTTATTCATAGACATACAGTGGAAATCTTTCGTGGTCAGGCTTATTATCAGTTGCTGAAACTAGTAGTAAAACTCCCACCTGTTATTATCATGTCCTGTACAGCTGAGTTCAGTAGACTCAACACTTTTTGCTTCCCTGTTATTTCTCTAACCTTCAGACCACAACCACCCCACCAGTCCTCTGCTGGCCAAGCCTCCAGAGCTGTCGGAAGAAGCCAAACTACCTGCCTCCATGAAGTTTGTAGCTGCCAACACTGTAGGTGAGTAAAGGACAGTCTGCAACACTGAATCAGAGCTTTATTTCTATTAGCTACCAGAAACCTTTTGAAAAGGCACAAAAGTAAAACAGGTGTATTTTCATCAGCATGGCAGAAATGAATAAATCAGCTCCTTTTAATATGTGTTCATTTTGTACTGTGTTGATATGTCACTTTGGACTTTGTGTGCTGAGTAAAACATTATTACAAAGTTTATATGTCAGTAGGTTGACTAAGTGTTTTTTGTCTCCATGGAGGTGATGGTTATAGCAGTTCAGACTCCTTCACATCAGACCAGGAGCCAATCACAAGACAAAGGTCAGTAGCTGTCACTTCATTCTCTTTTTTTTTTTGTTCCCCAGCTTGAGTTTCTTGAATGGCAGTTGTTGTGGGAATTTTTTTTACTACGATTTATGATTAATCAAAAAATAATCTGCAGATTAACACATTATATTTTGTGTTTTATACATTTTCTCACTCTTATTTGTCACTGTTATCAGTGTATCATAGTAAGTCATCTTGCAAGTCTGTATCTTTGGCCGTTTTACCCATAATTCCAGAGGCCTAAATGTTTGTGTTCAGGTCTCAGTCGGGTACGTCTCCAGAGGCTCTGAAGGTGGTAGCCCCTCCTCCCCCTCCACCTCGCCCTCACCCGTCTCACTCTCGCTCCTCGTCTCTGGACATGAACCGCACCTTCGCTGCCGCATCAGCCACAGGACAACCACAACCCTCTACGATAGCTTACCCGCCTGCCGTGCCTCCTCGACCGCTACCGACACAGGTCAGACAGACACCAACAGAAAAATATAAAAGTGACTTTTTATATAATTTACGTCTAGTTAACCCAGTTCTAACAGCAGTAACGATGGGCTCAGGGATAGATATATTCTCTCTTCTCCTCTCCACAGACATCAGTACCACACACCGGGCATCGTGTGGAGGCAGAGGCTGTACCAGGAGGCGGGGCAGTGCTCACCACCACCTCCCCCCAGCAGATTCCTCAGCAGCCCAATTTCGCAGACTTCAGTCAGTTTCAGGCCTTCGCCGCCTCTGAACAGCCTTCCAGCCTGCCGGAGGTCGACAAACACAGTGAGGCGGGACAGGTAAGTTGTCACCTGGACTCTGTGTCTGTATTTCTACGTAGCTGTTCATGGTAAATATTCAACAAATAACTTCAGCGCTTGTTACTTGACCACACTACGAGAAACATCCAGCCAACACCCTGAAGGCGGTTTCATACAGACACATTGACGTCTGTCTTTTTATTACTGGTTTATGATCAAAGGTTTCACAGCAAAGGGTCATGATGCAAATACTGAGCCAGTAAAATCCAGCTGATGTTTTGTCAGTACTCGTCAGAAATCAAAAGTTTATACCTGATCCAAATCGGATAGTCAGTTATTCAACCATGTGATACTCAGAGGAGTATACTGGCTCCTTAACTGTAAGATAAGACCGTGTAGCTTAACTTTATATTGACCAGAACAACAGCACTTAAGAGAGAGTTTTGTAAGGTTTGCTATCGCTACATAGCCAACGTTAGCATTAGCAGCTGTTTAGTTACCAGGCTGGGAGAAACGCTGCGAGTTCAGTGTCAAACCTCACCTTTTCTCGCCAAGAGCTGTCTCCGTCTAGAAAAGCAACACCAATGTGAACTCTTCTATCACTCCTTTTCTTCTACTGAAGCATGCTAACCAGCTAGCCCCTTAAGCACTGGTTACCATTTGTACATGACTGCGTTTCATTCACAGTGTTTCAACTGAGATATTGTTTTTGTTATATTCTATTTCTGGGTGGCTGTTTGGTAGTTTCTAAATGTTTTTGTGTCCACAGGTGGATAAGGCACCAGAGGGAGCTGGCCCTTTGAGAACAGTGAAGAGTGATGGCCAAGCAGATGAGAGAGCCTCAACTACTGTCAACTCTGTATGTTAACATCCTCTGAAAACTGCTGTACAACAGATCATCTGATCCCTGATGAAGTCATTACACTTCACTGAGTGGTGTCTGAAAAATAAGAATGAAGATGCATGTCATATCTATTGTTAGCAAACGGATCAAAGCTCAATGCAATTGTGCATTCGATAATTATTAACTTTTACTGGGTGAAACAACATAAAAACAACTGAAGGTTTCTTTGCAAACAGTTACAAAAGACACAGAGGACGACTTGTAGTGTGTTTTTATCCCCCTCAGTTAATTATATGTTCATTTTATTTTTGTTTTTCCCACCAGGCCAAAGGTTCTTCTGGGCCACTAGCTCCTCCTCCTAAACCTGTACGTCGGAGGTTGAAATCTGAAGATGAGCTGCGACCGGAGGACGAGCAGCACGGTCCACAAAAATCAAACGTCATAGCTGCTGTCCTGGCCACTCAGCCCTCCATCCCCAGGTAGCAAACTTGACTGGCTGATTAATGAGACTTTGGAAGGTCTTGTTTAGCGTATATTGTTATTTTTGTATGTATCACGTTTAAGTAAAAAGTGTGTATATTTGTGTGTCTTCAGGTCAGTAGGAAAGGACAAAAAGGCGATTCAAGCTTCAATCAGAAGAAACAAGGAGACTAACACAGTGTTGGCAAGACTTAACAGTGAACTGCAGCAACAGCTGAAGGTATGGAAGATATGCACATCAGTGTTTTCTTTCTGACTCTTTCTCCTCTGGTAAAAAAATAAAATAAAAAAAGTCACTCATAACTCGTCATGTTCCAGGACCTGCTCGAAGAGAGGATATCTCTGGAAGTCCAGCTGGAGCAGCTCAGACCCTTCTCTCATCTTTAACCAACGTGTGGAGGGAAAACTCGACTGTAGTTCATCCGAAGCAAGGCTGTGGGCCTCGGTGTGACTCCCCCCTCCATCCCTCCTTCGCTCCCTCCTACCTCCCTTCCCTCCTCCCATCATCCAGGCTTTTCCCTCGAGGCTCGGACCTGCCGCAGGGTGCTCCGTTAAAACTCTCATGCTCAATCACCCAATTATCAATCATAAACCCGGAAGGACCTGAGAGCACAGTCTTAACCAGGTGGGAGGCGGAGGTGACAGGAGCGTGGGGGGGATTTTACAAACTGGCACTTTTCGAATTTTCTCTGAAGAGAGGCGAAGGTGAGGACGACGGTGAACTGAGAAACGGTTAGGAGAAGCAGACAAGACGCTGCCAACGCTGGTGTCTGATTACTTTCCTCTCTGAATGACTGAAGAAGAAAGGGGGAGTGTGTGAGTCACGTGTTTGTGTGACTGTTTTGTGTATTTGTGTTCCTGTTTAGTGACTAACTTGAGGCTAGCATCAGTTCATGTTTGTTCTCTCTTGGGGTAGAGACTCTGCCACACCAAATTATAAATCGGGCACATTTAAAGAGACAACTTGGAAGTATGCTTCAATGCTGCCTTTCTATAAGTGAGAGAAGAAGATCTATATGAGCCTTTTAAGTGATAAGGGCAGAGATAAAATCTGCACTTAGCCTAGCTTAGCATAAAGACTGGAAACAGGGTGAAATAGCTAGCCTGCCTGTCTCCAAAGCTCAAAAAAAATGCACCGACCAGCACCTCTAAAATTCACTAATTAACACATTGTTTCTGATTTGTTTAATCCACACAAAAGCAGAAATGTAAAAAGGATAATTTGTGGTTTTAGGGGTCTTACATGCTAAAGCTATTTCATCTAACTCAGAAAGAAAGTGAATAAATGTATTTCCAAAATGTTGAACTCTTTCTTTGTCTTCTTGCTTATTGGCATGACATCTTTCCGACTACCATGAATGCGTATATAAAACTGGACAACAGTCGTGGGAGATCTCTGCTTTAAATATAGTCTCTTACTAAACATTTGCCTCCTGAATGTCACTGGCTCTCCACCATTTTCAAAAGTAAAATTGTTATAATCTCCTATTAGAGGCTTTGAAAACCATAAAAAGTCTGTCAGGAACTTACGTCTGCCAGTAAGCAAGGAATGCAAAATTGACTTTTTTTTTTGACTGGAATTTGGTGTGCTTGGTCTCCCCATTAAAACATTTTAGGCTACCTCCGGACAGGACTCTTATATGTGTGTGTGTGTGTGTGTGTGTGTGTGTGTGTGTGTTTGTGCTTGTGATGCCTTTAATGGCGTCATCATCATGGTGAAGGCTTTTTTGATTCATCCTGTGACATGATATCAGCCCACATCCATCTTCTACTGCCCCTTGAAGTCTATGTGTGTGAGTGTGTGTGTGTGTGAGAGTGTGATGGTGTGACATGATGAATGAATGCTTTGTCTTGTTTTTCTTCTTCTCTGTTACACAGTGTTTGGGGATTGATGTGACTGAATGGTTTAACTTTAATGCCAAATGACTGAACTCTCACTCTGCTCTCTCACCTCTAAGTGAGCGATGTTTTTAAAGGAGAAAAAAAAAAGCAACTTCATTTCCCTTCCAACAGGTTTTTTTTTTTTTTTGTTTGTTTCTTAAACATAGCTGTGGCTCAAAATTTCAGCTTTCCTTTTAAACCTCTTATTCTTGATTCCTGCGGTTATTTTTCAGTCTCACCTGGATGGGAAAGCATTTAGTCAAAACAAGACATTCACTTGAAGGGTTTGGAGATTTTTCAGCTGCTTGACTGCAGGAGGCGGCGTTTATGAAGAAGTGTGTTGCTGATCAAGAAGAAGTTTTCCTGTGATTTTCCCGCTCAGCAAACACGTGCACAGATGATAACCGATGGTGCAAATAAGAGTTGATACTGGTTTGAAAATTCAACTGTTTTCCACCCGGGCAGTCGGCACTATGCAAAGTACGGGCGATACATCTCCACAGACCAACTATACTTAGCTGTTTGTACTATGATAGTAGCAACTGTGTGAACAGTAATGATCTGGTTTTTTGTATCGTAGATCTTCCAGAAAAAACATCTACTGTATGTTTGTGATTCATTTTGCCTTTTTCTTTTTTTCTTTTTTTTTTTCGTACTGACAAGCAGTCCACTTCCCCCGCTCCCAGCTCCAGAGGGAAGTAAACTCCAGATCAGTGTTTTATCAGGGCAGTTTCACCTGAAATCTGCAAGATGAAGCTTAACAGGCCTACAGACGGAGACCAGTCAACAGAATGGGAGACCTGAATGACCCAACAGCACTTTGAACTTAACTTCTCCCCTCCCTCCTTATTTCTTTTGTGTTTTTATTTCTTACGTACTTCCTCGACCTTCGCTTTCTTTTAACCTGCATGTTGTTTTTGTCTTTCACATGTATTTAAAAGAAGATACTTTAAGACAAAAAAAAAAAAAAATTGAACCACTCAAGTTTTATTTCTTCAGTACAACCTGGAAACTTAAGTTTTTTTTGTGTCACTTCCCTAAAATATCCTGTCTTGTTTGGTCAATTTTTAAAACATTTTTTTTGTAACTGTTTTGTCCCTGGAGCTTCCTGTGTGTTGGTGAAGAATCTGTCTTCTTCTAAAGCCTTACTCCCCCGACTGGCGTTCAGGTTTCCACGTTGGCTGACTGACCTCTCTTCCTTGTCGTATCAAGGCTCGCCTTCTTTTTTCTGCTGTTAAGGACGATGATGTACTTGGTGTGTGTGTGTGTGTGTGTGTGCGTGCGCGTGTGGAGGTGGGTGTATGTGTGTGTGTGTGTTATATCGTTTCCAGGCCTGGAACTAATACCATTTAAAACCCTATTAAACACCTTCATGTTGGATTGATTTATGTTTGCTAGCACAATAGCTCCCTCCTCATCCCGAAACCCAAAAGGCAATCCAGGCAGAAGCAATCAGTCGTTAACGAAGTCTTTGATGGGATTTTGAATGCTATTTGCTCCAAGATCTGTGTTGTATATTGTATATGATACACACTTTTGGACTCATATGTAAATTTGCATTAATTGCTGACTAACAGCGAAAGAATATTCTATTTAATTCCTTCTCTCTTGGCTGTGGGATCCTAGATGTTTAACTGCATGGATGTACTGTATCTCTGCAGAGTCAACTAGCAGCTGTGTGATTTTTACACAAAAATAAAAACGGCACAATATTTTAAACTCTGCTCTCCTTACTGACTTCTTCATTCATATGAGAAACTGGTCTGCTATTTGTAAAAAAATTAACTTTGACTTACAAGTAAAAAATAATAATCCAACACTGAGGAAGCTGAAATGAGTAAAGTCTGAGTGTAATTCTTCATTGCACACTGCAGTGACTCCAAGTGCTATAAAATACAGACTAATTATATTTACCCAAAATGCCCTCCTGCAACCACCTAATCAACCTGTAGCAAACCTCCGGAGGTGATGTGTCACATCAAACATCAAACAGTAGCTTTACTGCATTGTGGACAAAGCTTATGTGAGATATTTCCCTACAGTTGACAATAGTAATAAACAGTTGAATGTTTACAGATTTTGATGATTTCAATCCTGCAGCAAACGGACATTTAAAATTATCTTATTTTTTTTATTTTATTTCATGAACTTAAAATAGAAAAAAATAAACAGTAATCACATGTGCAAAAGTTAGTCAGTGGTCAGATTTCTTAACTGTGGATGTGGAAATGCTGCTTCAGGGTTGTGTGGCAGTCAGCGTCACGGGGAGCAAAATGGATCCTACCAAATGTTAGTAAATTCTGGATCTCGAAATCCACCATGAGCTACTTCAAGAAACACAATCTTTTTGCTTCTGAACGGCCCCTCACGGTCCTCTGACCTGAACATCACTGACGGTCTGTGGGCGCACAAACATGCTGTGTGTGCAAGACGGCCTAAAAATATCTCAGAACTTGAAGTGATCAGCGGGAGGAGTGGGTGAAAATTTCTAAATCGGGAACAGGAAGACTCTCTGCCAAAGAGGGGTTACTTAGTACTGACTCAGCAGGGTGCTCCAACTTCTGTATCTGCGCATTAACATTTGAAGAAAAGGCTCATTTTTAATCTCTGTCTGCATGTTTTATTTAAACCTTATCACTTAAAACAATAATAAAAAAAAAAAGTGTAATTTGCTCAAACTTTTGCAGACAACTGTAAATGTTGACCTACATTTTACTGGCAAGTTTACTTTCTTTTTGTGTTTCACAGTTAAGCTAAAATAATAGGGAGTGCATCATTTTATAATTGATATACCACGTGATTAATGTGAACACTGGGAAAGTCACACTAATGTGATTATTTGACTGTATTTACGTGGAATCCATCTTGTCATCTTGAACGTTGTCGTGTTGTCTGGGTGTGTGGGTATTGAGACTTAAATAATGTGTGCGGTGAAACCAGTTCTCGACACTCACATTTATGCGTGACACTTATTTGTAAGAATAAGAGCAAAGTTATGTCAGAATATCTCAGAATGTGGTGCAAATATTTTGTATATAGAGACATTTTTTTGATTTAATAGACAAGAAATGCTTTATTTGTTAATTACTCTTAAATGCTTCACTCAGCTCAAGAACTCAGAAACACCGTTGACAGTAACTGCAAAGAGACACAACAGGTTTGAGCAGGTTTTATTAAATCTCTATGTATTGCTTCATTGCTAGGCTGTTTTTCAGAGGGGCTCAAAGCGATCCTGAATTATCAACGTCTGTTTTACCAAATTCAATCTCTCTCTAATCAGTGACTTCAACTCCAGCAACTTCTTCAACCAGCTCGGATATCACCTATCCAAGATCTGCAGAGGGGTCGATCAGGTCATTAAAGTCACTGAAACAGCCTGGATTAATTTAGTTTTCTATACGTTTGTTGCAGCATCAATTTATTGCTTTATGGAATTGCATTAGAGAAAATAAGAGTTTAATCAAGTGTTAGAAAGGCTGACTGCAGAGAGTAAACCCCATCTGACATAAGGCCCTGCGTTGGAGGGACAACAGACATGAGTCAGGCCAATTATCTACTAAATATCTCCTACAGCAGGACAAAGAGCTCTAATGTAACAATATAAATCTCTTGAGTTTTAACTGGATCATTTGCAAAAGCAGGACTTTGGGGGGGATTTACAACAGGATCAGTGGGTTGGCTTCAGGTTTTCTTTTTTCCAGGGGTGTTTCAATGAATCCAGAACATTCTCTCGTCAGCAGACAATGCAGGTCGGGGTGAACATCCAACTCTGAATTTATTTGACCACACTGAGGAAAAAAAACAGAACAGAGAGAGTGAGATCAGAGATTAACAGTGATGCTTAAACATCCTACCTTCCTTAGAAAGTAAATTCATTTTAATTCCATATAATCCAACTGAGTATAACTTTAAATCACATATAGTGAAAGCAGCATTACCACTTTGAAGAACAACCAACTGTAAACTACTGCACAGAAAACACTGGGTCAAGAAAAAACAAAAGCTCTGTATGATAGACAGCTTCATTTGTTATAATTAGGTGGGAATATAATATATCCTGTTTTGGACATTTTCAGTATTTTTATTGTTTATATGTTTTCAGATCAAATGAAGAAAGTAAAAAAAGAAATGAGGAAAAAAGGAAGTAAAGAAAGAACAAATACGGATAAAAGGAGGGATACAAGAGAGGGAATAAGTAAAGATGATATTTAAGTACTTATTAACGTAGTCACTAGAACTGTCAGATAAATGTAACACAGTAAGAAGAACCATATTCAAAATGTAGTGGAGTGAAAGTAGAAAAGGTTAAGTAAGATTAGTATTTTAAGTAAAGGACCAGTGCCTCACATTTACATGGGAGAATATGCTCGTTGACTTGGTGAAAGTTATACCAGTCTCATGTCTGGACAGTAAACATGAAGCCACAGCCAGCAGCTGGTTAGCTTAGCTTAGCATAAAGACAGGAAACCTTACTGACATGAAAGTGGTATCAATCTTTTCATATATCTCTCAGCAAGAAAGCAAATGAACATATTTCCCAAAATGTTGAACTGTTCCTTTAAATGTGAACGATTCAAGCCCTGCTCATCACTCACACGCTGGTTTCCTTGTAGCGGTCCAGAGCCTCCTGGGCCACCACCTCAGAGAACTTGGGGTTGGTCCAGGGGATGTCGCCCGGCACGGTGAAGTTCATGGGAGGAGAGTCGAAGAGCTGCACGGACACGTTTGTTTGTACCGGCTGCTGCTCCTCACCCGGCTTCTCCTCGGTGTCCCTGCAGATCACCTGCAGCACAGGGAGGAAGGGTTTCAGCTCATCCTGTTATTCAGCACGTCAGAGAAATATAATCACCAGCCACTTTGGTAATTGATTAATCACTGTAATCATTTTTTTTATTAAAAATGCCAGGATTTGATGCTTTTATTTGTTTTGTGTTTGTTGGACAAAGCAACCAGTTTGATAATGTCTCATTTAGGAAATTAAATTTACCTTGACCTTTGACCTTTAACCACCAAATTCTAATCAGTTCATCCTTGAGTCCTTGTGCCAAATTTCCCTCCAAGCGACTGAGATATTGTGTTCATGAGAATGGAGTGGACAGGTTGGTCGATTTATAGCCACTTTCTGAATGGTCAGTTTGTGGCCGTGTTCTGATTGGTCTATTTATAGCAATTTGTATCAACAAATCAGAACACGGCTACAAACCAACCAACCTATAACAATACGACTACGCCCCAACCAGTCAAGATACAGCTGCAAACCAACTAACAAATCAGAATAAAGGTTCAGACCAACCAACCAATCCAAATAGAGCTGCAAACCAATCTTTGGGTTACAGAGAATGAGATTGACAGGTGAATTCAACAAAGCCGCCCTACGTACTGTCTGAAAGCGGAAGATGCCGTCCTTGCTGTTGGTGTTGTTTGCCAGAGACGACACCCAGCCAAACTGCTTGTTAAACAGGTCCAGGATGGAGGAGGTGTTGAACATCTGCTCCTCGAACCTCTCCAGCTCGGTGTTGTACTGCTGAGTGAAACGCTCGGCCATTGCCAAAGCCTCCTCCAGCTCCTGCTTCAGGGGGCTCTCCAGAGGTTTCCTCCCGGAGCAGTCTGTGAAGGAAAACATCATCATCATCTTCATGGGGTCCAGTAAACTTCGAAAGACCGCTTAGCAACTGCTACACTCGGCTGGACTACACTGCTTTTCAGTTCAACTTAGCCTGGCTCTATTGGGGTTATCTGGCTTCACTGAGCCTAACATTGGCCACCAAGGATAACCTGTATCACGAAGCTGGCTACCAACCGGCTCGCTCAGCTCTGGCTTTATCTGGCCACAGGTTGTTAATTAAAAGTGAAATCATCAGAACCGTGAATGAAGTACTTAATATAACATGAGACGAAATGGTGAAAAGGTGTTGCAAAGAGTGATACTCAACAAGGTGAAACCTTTATTATCACAAACTCTCCTCATGATCGGTTTGGACAGTGGTCTGGCTGTGCAGCATCGGTTACCATGGCGATCTACCCCAGTTAAAAGTGACCCTGCTTCGTAATACCAGAAAACCTGAGAAGCACCCAGAGAAAGCTTGGAGGTCCAGGCCCCTGGAGTCTACAGCGACACTGACACGTGTTGTTCGTTCACGGCAGAGGAACAAAAACATCATTAACACAAAGGAAGAGATTACATAATTAAATTACACTCTCTCTGAATCGCTGCTCATTCATTTGAAGCACTTCCTTTTGTCATTATGATTATGAATTCTAATTTTGTTGCTCGAATTAAAACATCTCTGGCTCCTGGTTCAGGCCTCCATCTCCTGTTTCCTGTGAGAGGAGGCTGGATGAAAGGACACAGCCGGACCTCTGCACATGCTTTACCTTTTAAATGGTTCTCATTATTTGTTTTATGACATCTTACATAATTCATAATTCTTCCCCACTGTTCCTCCTAATTTTTTAACTTTCTTGTTTTCAAAGTCTGTATCACTGTCATCTACATTTCTATAACATGTTTAGTGTACTCATGTTTACATTTTGGATCAATGATAATATTGGTCAAAAAAGGAACATGTCACCAGCGAGTGATGTTACCAATATGTTGGATGTCTTTGCACTTCTGACACTCGTCGCGGAACTTGATGCAGCCGGCGGAGTTGCGGCGAATCTCTCTGCAGGTCATCCTACCGTTGCCAAAAGGTTTGGTGATCACCACGTCCTCGTTCACGCTGCCGTCTGCAAGCACACAAATACATAACAACCGTTTATTTCAGGTTCACACGAATGCTTGAAAGTAACCAAAAAATATTGATTTGATTTGTTCTTTTTCCGTTCATTGCACTTTGTATTAAGTTTAATGATAAATAAAAACTATTCACCTTTAAAAGCATTCTTGCTTATTTATCTCGGTGCAACTTTTGCACAGTGCTCTGTAAAAACCAAGAGGTTTATATGCATGCTTGTAAACAAAATAACATTTGCACTTCATTAGAAATACTCAATCACTACATTCCAGCTCGCAGTACAATTTGTATTTGTTCATCATATTTTGTGAGTTTTAACCTGTTGCATTTTGACATTGATGGGAAACATTTTGCTCCTCATCACATAAGGGATTTGTTTTGATGATACTTATTTCAAAACTAAATTTTTTTTTATACAATATCATCATATTTGACAATTTATATGTCAGTGAAATTCCAAAGTATTGATTGTTTTTTCTCAGTATTTTTTATTCTTGGTTTTGGCTTCTTTTCAGCTCTGTCGGTTCTCTCACATCAATTTGAAACCTCACATAACAAAGTGCTGATGGCGAAACTTCTTCTATAGCTCAGACAGTAAACACTGTTTCAAATTGTGATTTAGATACTTTAAAGTCTTTTTTCATGAAGTCTTTGAGGTATCTTTATCTCCTGCCTGTATAGGACACTATTAAAAGGTTTACCTAAAAAAGGTCTGTGCTGGAACAAAGTGCTGATGTCTGCGCAGTCTTTTCACAATTGACAGTCAAAAGACAATTAACAGAGCATCTGTAGTTGAGATCTTAGCTTAGGAAGTCAGAAATCGTACCCTCATTAGGAAAAGTGTCAGAGTCGATGTCCATCATGGAGCCCATAGATCCAAAGAAGTTCCTGCCCATTCCCATCATGGGGGAGAACAAATTCTGGAAGCGGTGGAACGGATTGTGGAACAGCGAGCGAACGGATATGGTGTGTTGTTCTGGGTCGTGTCTGAGCGGTTCAAATAAGATATCGGGAACAATGATGATCGGAGGGAAAAACTGGACCTGTTCAGCCACCTGAGGAAAAACAAAGAGGAATACAACCATCACTCAGATACACTGTACCCTTATATTTTTATGTAAGCGAACAATTAAGTATACGTGAGTCTCGTGTTTGTGTGACCTGCAGGTAAACAGTACCTTCATACTGTCTGAAAATATGCTGTCCACGCCGTCAGCCATCTCAGTGTACTTCTCCTCCAGGTTCCTGAACTCTCTGTTCTGTCGCTGTCCCTCCCGCTCCAGGACGTCCATTTTCTCCCCGTTGATCCAGATGGAGAAGGGAGACGTCCTGTTCAGCACCTCCTCCAGCTGCAGAGGAAACGCACAGCTTTTCATTTCAGATCAAGCCTTTCCCGAAGGTGACTGCTGACTGGTTTTTGAAACATTCATTTGAGTCAAAATAAACTACTCGACTAACAAGATCACTTTATTCCGATAGAAAAACACCATCAATAAACATCATCAATAAATCTGCACTGTATCTATCATAAAAGATGACATCATATCTGGATTGTAATGAGGACATGTGTGTGTCTCACCTGGCGTCCCACCAGTCCAGATCCGCTGCTGCATGTCCTGGAGTAGTATCTAACACAGGTGTTCTTCAGACAGGGCTTACACTCCTCCCACAGGGCCCTCATGGTGTCGTTGCAAACCTCCTCCTCCTGCTCCAGCTTGGCCTCCATCTCCTGAGCTGTACGCATCGCCTCCTGCGGTAAAACATTTCAACTTGTCTTGGGATCTTAAGAACTTAGGTCATATTTTAACAGCTACTGCATCTATGTATGAAAAAGAGCTTGTTAATCCGTTTATCATTAGGGAATCCTACAATATAAAGAAACACTGTCTCATTCTGGCATCAGTGCTGATATCTGACACAAATCACTATTGTCATGTACGTCTTTCTGCTGCTTGGTCTTCTCCAGGGAATCCAAAAACTTCTTGTGGTCCTCTGAAGATTTCTGCATCACAGTCTTCATCTCCTTCACTCCGTTGATGGCGTTTTCAATCTGTTTATCCAGATACTTCTCTCCCTGAAGGGAGAGGTCTGCAAAGAGAAACATAACCTCATTCTATAACTTCTGCTCATTTGTTAGTTACCTCAGTTTTTTATTTTATTATTTTTAAATATGGGTCTCTAAGATTTGTGGTGCCTCCACAACAGAATGTAGGCAAATGGGTTTTAGTTTGTGGTGTTCAAGAGCATTAAAAAATACACTGAAATATTCCAACACCAGGATGTTTTTGAAAAAACAATGTCCTGGTTATTCTGCTTAATCCAAAAACATAACTTTGTACAGTTTTTGGTGGAAAAAAATCATAATAAAAAAGAAAAATACACAAATGCAAAAAGTTTATTTTTAACCCTTAGAAGTTTCCTGACGCTGGAGCAGTGACACTCACGGGTCAGATCTTCTTTTGAAGGAGGGAGGATGCAGTTGGCCGAGGCCAGGAAGAGGGTCACCACAGCCAGGAACTTCAACCCCTTCTTCTTCATCATCATCATCATCATCATTAACATCCTCTCTGACTCTCACAGGGCCAGCAGGCAAGGATGAGAAAAACCTGGAAGAAACATCAGACATGGATCTGTGAGCCTCCTGGCTGATGTAATGTTGTTGTAATGACCCTGCACCTCCACTAGAGGGAGGTATACACCGTAGACACCGGTCAGAGACCTACGCAGTATGAAATGAACACTCTTGCTCAGCAGTTTTCTGCACTTACACAGCACCAGTCAATACTAATAAATAATTCAAAGTCATGCCCACTGAAAACAAAAGATTAGCAAGGACATTATCTCCAAACTGACCTCAGATCAGTGTTTCCTGTGACTTTGACCGCCTGTGCCTCTCAAGAGCATTATATAAAGAGAACAGCAGGCCCTTTCTCTGTTTACCCATTTTTCCTGACTTGTGCTCGGTCAGCTGCCCGTATATTCAACAATGATAGATTCAACAGAGAGTGACTATAGCATTCGATTTCTTTTCTTCCTCCACCTCCTCGTCACTCACACACACACACACACACACACACACACACACACACACACACACACACACACACACACGATAGAGACAGAGAGAGACAGTCAGCAGACAGATGGACTGGCCCTCTCTCCTCTCTGCGTAGTCTTTCCCAGGCAGTACAAGTCTCTCTCTGTGAGTCTAATCTCTGTTCATTGTTTTTGCAGCCAAACATTAATCCTTCCTTTTCCTCTACATACACAGCTAAATGCACCAGTCGACCTGCCTTTGTCAACCAGACTAATGACGTTAGTTCAACTGAGCTTGACGGTTCAACCTCGAAAACAGTAAATTGTTGACTTTTCCTGAGCTTTCAGCCACATCTTAGTGGCTTTCATCAGCCGATGGAGACTTTTTTGTTTACTTGTTATCCACCTGTAATCATGTGACCCAAATTCCATATTTAGGTCACATGATGCCTAATTTATTTCCATGATCACTTAGCAAACTTCATTTGCTGATGAAGACCATACAACGTAGCTGAAAGCTCCAGACAATTTCCAGTAAGAGGACCTTGTGTAAGATTTTTTTTTTTTTTAATTTAAAATTTAAAATTAATTTTAATTTTGCTAAAGCATACGAAAATAATGTTGAGCGGGTATCAATATATTTTGGCCATATGGTGTAATCATGTTATGATCGGTCAATATATCACGCATGGAAAGAAGACGTTGACGTTGAGCTATTTGCTGTGTTTACTTTCTGATCTGCATACATTTTAAACATGAAGTGAAATGTAAACAAAATGTATTTTATTTGACTAAATTTATATTTTTAACTATTTCAGATGAGAGAAAGCGTTTGTTCATCTCCTCCAGTCACTCTTGTGCACAGTCACCTGCTCGCCCACAATCTCCTGTTCCTATGGAAACAAGCTAAATACGTTGTGCACGGCGTGTCGTTTCTGCATCCGTTAAATTTGACTACAGATTTATAACTTGAAAAAATCAATTTGTTATTTAACCCCCTAACATACAATATTCCCTCCCTCCCCTTTTTACCCCTCTAAACCTTTCTAAACCATTCAACCAAATGCAAATGTCTTGCACATATTTGGCATTTTTGCAAACTTTTGCATCCCTGATTTAACACTGTGGGTTTCTCACCTATGAGATAAAGCAAGTTGCAACTATTATTCAATACAACTTACGCTAAAGAGTTTCTGGTATCTGTTCTCATCACAGGACGGACAAACTGAGCGCACTGAATCTCTGTTCGTTATTTTAATCTGAAAAATGTCACCAACTGTTCCAAACCCAGCAGGACTGGACGCCCACATGAGAGCTAAATAAATGTCCCACTTTCTCCGCTCTATATGAGCTCACGTGTTCGTGAGTTTAACACTTAGAGTCGCTAACACAATGAGGTCATTATTCATGTGACAATAAACCTCTCGTTTAATTACAGCATGCCAGGGAGTGGAGGGTTTGTAAACAGGGGCCGGCTGCTTCCAGTGATGCCTTATTTAATGAGAAAAAAAACAAAACAAAACAGAAAGAGTAAGGTTTGACGTACAGAGAGAGGACAGAATGAGCAAGAGAAAAAAATCAGTCAGAGAGAGTAAAACAGGGAATGAGAGAAAGGGAAACACGTAAAAATGAAAAGCAGAAACAATTTACAATGCAGAGGTCCAGCTATGTTATCTGTTGAAAAGCAGCTGCAGGGATCCTGGTTACACAACAGAAAGAATGCAAACTCCACTCCAGATGTTGACTGCAAGGCCTTCCAGAAAGTTCAGTTTCAGCTTCATGAAGTGAAATACAGAGAACTGTCCACTGTGCTACAGATCAGGGAGCAATTTCTATTTTTTCCTGGTGAACATATTCACATCTGCATCAGATTGTTTTCTATCTAAACCTATTTTATTTTACTTTGCATTCTGGTACTTATATCTATATATAATATTACAATATTACTACTGTGTTGTTATTGTTGTATTTAAGAAAGAAACAATTTATTAATTAGTCAGTTAATAAATTAGTTGATCATCAGAAAATTAGTACACAACTATTTTGATAATCAGTTAATAGTTTGAATCATTTTTAAAGAAAACTTTTGCTCCTCCTTCAATCTCATGAAGATTTCCTGCTTTTCCTGATCTCACATCAAGGAAATAATACCTTGATTAATCAATAATAAAAAATAACCATTAGTTGCAGCAATAATGGTTTTATGTATGTATTTATTATTTGTATCTATAGTTCTTTCTGCATTGTGTTACCTTTGAGCCCGTCTCTGTGCTGCTGTAACATGTTATGTCTTCTCCCATCTCACCTTTGTGTGCTGCTGTGTCTGAAATACCTGATTTAGTGAGGAACATCATGCTGCCGATGCATGTTTTCGCTGTTACTTCACTAACCATGCCGCTGTTTCTGTCTCATCTTCTCTGCTAGAAGTTAAAAACCTGCACAAAAGGCTTTCCCAATGCCAGAAAAAGAAGAAGGAACAATTAACTAATCTGGATCATCCCAGCTCCATTAACAACGAATGGGACACTGGAACATTTGGCCTCATTTTGGCCTCATTTTAAGTGTTTGGGGATTTTTTGCACCCAGAGGATTCACTTGTCACACACTTGCTAAATTAAGGCCAGTTCTAAAACAGAAAATCTACTAAAATCCCTAAAATCTACCTTATATTGCTTTAAGGTCATTCTACAGTATTTGTACATTAGAGGAACATTTGAACCTAAATGATTAGTACAATTTTACAGATGAATTTAATTTTAGACTCAACTCTAAAAAACTATAAAGTGTATTCAAGTGAACCAAACCACAATGCCATGATGTCATCTACCCTAATACAGTTGTTTTGATCCAGAGATGGAGGTCACACCCATGAGTAAGCAATACAAACAACACCTACAGCAGTCAGCCATGAAGTCAGCATTTCTGCATGAAGAAAAAGATCTGCAGGGACCAACATTAAAAAAAAAATAAAAAAATAAAAAAATAAATAAAATCAATGCACATAATGAAGCCAAATCAGAGTTAGAAATGTAAACAATATTTATATAACATTTCATGAGATAAACCTGGAAAATGCACCATTCTGCTCTAAATTGTTAGAATAAAACAGTCATACAGCATAAAAACTGCATATAAACAGATCATCTATCTCTGAGCATCACCGAGCTACAGACTCTCAAAAACAACAGCAGCCCCTCTGACTCACCTCTGTCTGTTTCCTTAGGACTCCAGACTGTCTGAAGCTGCTTCAGTCTCTCTGCTGCTCGTTTTTATACTCGTGGATAACGGGGACGGTGCAGATATGTGATTCACTGAACAAGCATGCTACTGTCAAACTGCAGTGAAAGAAAAGCCGGCGTCCTGTCTTACCCTTCAAAATAAAACCATTACCAAGAATGTTTCTGTCAAAAAAAAAACAAAAAAAAAACCAAAAGACAAAACCAGACTCATTGGAGTTGTTTTCTCGCGTGTGCCGTGTAAAACCTCAGCATTGGCATTTTGGGATTATCACCTCACAATCCCTCACACTAGACACTACGTTTGGGAACCACTTGACTAAACTAGCTAGAACTTGTACAAACCAGCTCCACCTTGTGCAAATACAAGAGGACATTGATGCATCAGTATTTACCCTCGAAATATGACCATCATGAGTGTACCAGTGGCAGATGTAGGCTACTGGATAACTACATTTACCATTGTAAGCATGAGGTTAAGATTATGGTATATCACAGTTTGATTAGGTTTAGGCATTAAAAAACTACTAGGTTAGGATCGTGGTTTGGATTAAAATAAGTAGGCATACTTCCTCGAGGTTAAATGACCTCTGTTGCCATGGTTACACATTCCCGAAGAATGAATCCCGTCCAACACTAAGTGAAAAAACATTGAGCTTTTATTTTGAAATCAAAATCCATTTTCCTGTGGTGTTTAACTGTTTCTGACTTGACGCCGCTGAGCCTGAGGACTTTTCCAGAAGTTTTGTAATTTATTGGCAGCAGCACACAGAGCTGCTGAGCAGAAAGACAAACATTTGATTCATCCTGACCGTGACTCAACATTTCATAAATTCACTTTCACGTTTCATTGTCTGCATATTAACAAATGACCAGGTCACTGTTTCACAACAGATTCACAATTACTAGAAAAAGACTATAAAGGCAAAACATACAACAAAAATGACTTGCAAAATTCACAATGCATATAATCACAGTTTGTACAGTGAGAGCTTGCTTTAAACAAACCATTAAGAATTGTGTTTAATAGTATTTAATAATAAATTACATAGTACACAACAACCACAAAGAAACAGAAAACAACCACAACAAGCTGCAAAAAGACTAGAGATGCAAAATGAACAGAAGAGAGATAAAAAAAACAAAAAACAACTACCACAGAGATGCAAAACAACAATGAAAAGATGCAAAACAACCACAAAGAGATAGAAAACGAATGACACGGCTGTATGGTTTGTGCTTGTTTTGTGCCTCTTTCAGTGTGGGTGTCTTGCTCTTTTGTTGGAGGGGTGAAGGGGCATTTCCATGCCTGTGCTCAGGGGCCTGTTGTGGCTGAATCTGCCCATTGTTAAAGCTTAAATCTTATATACAAAATTTTTATAGCTACTTAATCATGCATTAGATATTTTTTGATTTACCATATCCACTGTAAAGCCACCGTCTGCTGTTAATACATGTTCCTATACTGTAGGACAGTGTGCACAGAAGGATGAAGGTGTTACAGAAGAAAACTTTTATTAACTTAAAAAAACTCCATTGCAATAAATCACAGCAGATTTAATAGAGAGCTTCTTGTTTTAACGAGGCCTAAAAACCATCAATCTTGTGTAATTTGTTGAACTTCAGAGCGTCTGATTGTTTTGACTAACAAAGAGCAGCTTGTACTAACATGCACCACTTTCTGTAAGTGTGAGTAAAAAAGTTTTTGGGAATTTAAAACAGCAGACAGAAGAACTAAGGAAGGTGAAAGCACGAACACACACACACACGCACGCGCGCACACACACACACACACACACACACACACACACACACACACACATTCATAACAGGGTTGTGTGGTAGGTGAGTCAAGTCAGAATCAAGTCCCTGTCAAATAAATTGTTATTATTGCTGAACGGCTGCATCATAGGGGATGGACGTTCCAGTAACAAACAGGCACACACACACACACAAACACACACACACACACACACACACACACACACACACACACACACACACACACATTTTGAAAAAAAAAGAAATAAATTGTTGTGTTGGTGAAAAGCTGCTACTTGTGATTTCACATCCAATAACACACTGCTCCTGTCTCTCTGGAGGGTGGGACACCGCAAAAGGGCTGGTTTTGACGAGGTACCCAAAATAAGGCAGGATTTGAACTGGGCGCTGTAACACTGGTACCTTACATTCACAGATGAACCCACATGCTGCTGATTGCAGTGGGAGCTTCTCTCTTTTCAGTCCTCACTTTGGGTGTTGGACTTCAAAATTCAATGAGCCTCATAAGCTCTGAACCCACAGACTCAGAACTTCCAAGCAGTCCTTTGGTTACAGACACTTGAGGCTCATTGCTTACAGTGCCTCAGTCTTTCATCTGGGTATTGGACTTCAAATTCACCAAGGATTGAACCCACCGCCTCAAAACTTCAGACACCTCTGAAGCTGTTATTCTTTGGGCTTTCGAGCCTTAGGGTGTTGGACTTCAAAATTCAGTGAGCCTAACAAGGATCGAACCCACATCCTCAAAACGTCCAAGCACTCCTCAAACACCCTGAGATAGCTGTAAACAGACACGGTATCAATATTTGATCGAGCCATTGAGTATTTATTTTCAGTGCAGTCCCTGAGGATTGATCCCAAGACTTCAAAACTTAAGAGCGGTCCTCTAACAACCTGAGCTATTATACCAGACACACTTAAACTTTCTGTGAGCCTTTGACTCTTTCCATTGGACGTTGGACTTTAATGAGCATCAACATGATCAAAACCTTTCTTTGATCTTTAGTTTTTGTCCTTTGGAAGTCAAACTTCAAAATTCATGTTCACTCATGAAGTTACCTGAGGATTGAACCCAGAAACTCAGAACTTCAGAGCAATGTACAAACACAATGAGCCACTTGGTCTGACAAATTTGAGGAGTATTTCTTAAGAGTTTTTGAGTCTTCACTTTCCATATTAGACATCAAAATTCACTATGGCCTCCTCCCCACCTCCAGAGGCATAAAAGCAGTGGAAAACCATGGGTAGATAATATTTTGAAATAAATCAAATGTTACATTAATAAGAAAAAATGAATTGAAATGTGATGAAATTTCTGTGTGATTTTTAATGATGAGACTGTACTGTTGAACCTCCAGGGACTCCTTTACCTTCCTTGCATGAGGAGTGTGGGAGAGGTGAAGAGTTCAGGTCTGGTTGGAGGCGAGCAGGGAGAACCTTTTAACATATGTATATTGTATATACCATTGATTTGATGATTTGGAGTTAAACAGGTCTCCTTATTGTTTGTTGCCTATACAGTTAACTTTCACAAACTTTACTCCATAACAAATACATTCTTGTATTTAGCTACAGGTTTTAATTGTGTTGTTCTGGGTCTAGTGGAGCATGTTTTTGAGAGATCTCTTTTCCATCAGTGTAAAAGCCAAATGTCACACTAGGGGGCAGAAACTCCATTCTTATCAACACTGTCTACTTACATAAAGCGTCAGAGTTTATTTCATGACACATGTGTTTCCATAATTCCATCGTAGTCAGAAACTTAAGTTTCTTTTCATGCATCTTTATGTGTCACTGTCTACCACATGCGGTCCTTCGTGATTCAGTGTAAAAGCCAAATGTGACACTAGGTGGCAGGAACTTCATTCTAACAAACTGTCCTTCCTCAAGGTCTAAACACCGTCTGATTAAGGTATGTTACTCCCTATGCTCCGTTCTTACCAGATGCCAGCCTTCATGGTTAACCATTGAAAGTTCACCAGTAAAGCTGCATGAATCAAGAGCATTGTCACTATGGTTACATGCGTGTTATGTGTATGTGTTTTTTTTTTTTTTTATCTTATTCTGGATAGGAAATATATAAGAAACATGGTTATTCAGATCCCTATACAAATAATACAAACAGTATCCATATTTTTTACTTATTTTTTAATAATTTGCATGAAGTTGTGTCTTTGTTGTTTCTCCTCACCTGGTGGGTGTCAGATAGGGGTGCATTCATAAACCCTACAGCAGCAGTTAAACACAAAGAGGCAGAAATACTCACCTGCAGGATGTATTTCTGCAGCACACAAGGGTTTTAGGTTCCTCCTGAGCTCTACACACCATCTCATGACCTGTTTGAGTATCACACTAACACAGTAACAACAAGTAAAGTACAAAACACAATGAAATCAGAATTTATTAAATATTCAATGACAAAATAAAACAAAAAATATGGGTGTCTTATTTTAATTCTTTATTTTACCTGATGAACTGTAGTCCCAAAATGAACTGTACTATGTTTTAATTATTTTTTCTGCATGTTATTTATATACTATTTTAATTCTTTATAAGTTGATTTCCCCAGCTACATTCAGGTTTCTGTAAACAGGAATCAAACCCAATTATAACCCAGTTACAAGGAAAGTAAACAAAACTAAATCACTTTTGTGTTTTGTCAATAGGATGATGTTTCAGATACATATTTCATACATTTGTTTGCTTCTATGAGAATTTATCCACTTCTTCTTTTACTGCATGTCTTCTGGTTGTTGACAACAACCCAGTGTTTTTTTAATCCACCACAACAAGTCAGTTTGAGCTTGTTTGTAGCGTCACACTGGATCTAAATACAGTAAAGAACAGTGAGCAGAACATCTGTGTAATGACAATAGTGGAGAAAATGTTGAAGCTATAAACATGAGAAATACACTGTAAAAATGTCCTGTGTACTCCTTCCAATATGGCCCCCACATGTAAAATTCTAGTCAATCGTGACGCAGCATCCCTCATTAAACAGAGGGTCAGCTGTTTGCGTGATGGCAGCTTTAGCTGATTTAATCTATTAAACAAATCAGTTCAAAACATTGCATGGGAATGTGAGATATTCTCCAGCATTCAGAGCTTGACGTTCAATTTTATATTATTCTTTTGCTTTTTGTGTATGTCATTTGTTCTTGCTGCACTACTTCTGGAGACTTGTTTGTTTCACAGCGTACTCCGGATGCAGCCTCATTAAACCAAGATGGATGCTGTTGCAAAAGAACACATTGCTTTCAGAAGGCGGTCCAGAGGATGGGAATGTTGGAGTGTTTACAGCCTCATTGCTCTTTTATCAAAGCTCATTCACAATAGGAAAAATCCTAAAAGATGCTGTGGTTAGCATGTTGTAGAGAGGCTCTGAGCCTCTCTTCTGATTGGCTGACTGTATTCTGAGCGATCGAATAAAAATAAAGCAGATTTCAGGTAAACACTGAACCAAATCCTGCAAGGTTTGATGGTGGGTCTGGGTGGGAGGCCCTTGGGTCATGACTGAGAGCGGTGACAGTTTTGGTGAAGTTCTGCAATTATGTTTTAAAAGGAAGACCTTAAATAATAATAATAATAATGATAAAAAAACATTCATATAAGATGTACCTTAATTGATCCCCTGTAGAGGAAATTCAAGTTTGACACAGCAGTACATTCGAGAAGAAGAACAAGTGGAAAATGTAATAAGAAATAAAATAAGAATAGAAAACACAATCTAAAGTAAATAAGTTAAAATAGAGGTACTATATACAATATATAAATAAGAGAATAAATAAATAATTATGTGGTTGCAGTGTGTGCATAGCAGTCATTTCTTTTTTGTTTTTTTCAAAATGATAAGAAATGGCAGTCCCCACTTTGTCTGTGTAGCCTAACAGTCCACTGTTGGTGAGGTAGGAATGTGTGTGTGTGTGTGTGGGTGGGTGTGAATGCATCCTGTGCCAAGCTGCTGTAGCGTATAGTTGGCCAACTTCACAACTGAAACCATGTATGTAGCTCTGCAGCCAATCCTCAACCAGTAGCATTAATTTCCACATTACAGCACACACATGGAAACACATGGAGAGCTCTGAATGAGATGCTCTGCTGGCCTCTAACACGAAACATAATTATCACCAGGCTTAATTGGTCCCATTGGTGGCACTGAACGACCCGGGGCTGACAGGCCACAGATGAACTTCAAACATTCGGATGATTCTGGTATCAATTTAGAGGAAATTGTGTTTCTGTGTGAGTGTGTTGGAATGTGCATGAACCCAGCTGATTAAGGAACTTCACATTCTAATCAAAGGCTGGTGGCTTCGTGATCAAGGACCAGCCAAGCGATATTGGTCATTAAATTACTTCATGGAATCATAATTTTGGAGCATCAGGGTCAGTGCTGTAATAACTTTCCTTTACTTTTCCGAGTGACGAGAAAGAGGGCCAGAAGAACGTGGCTTCAAAAACCATTCAGGGATGTAGAAGTAAAGCTCAAAAGGGCATTTAGTTTTGCTCTGATTATGGTTACGATGGTGATGCAATGCAATCACAAAACAATCTGGCAGCACTGAAATGTCCTGGTAACAGTAAAGTAGTAATCACAGTAAGGAATGCCCTTCGGGGTATTAGGAGTTTTGGTTCTGGAAAGTGTTTGTCTAAACAGAGTTTCTTAATTGGTCGACCATTACGTCAGCTTGACTTTGTGCCTTGATACTGTGAACACCTTTCCCTTCGTCATTTTAGCCGTTTTGGGGGATACCATGGCTATTTGTGAGAATAACTTTTGTGTTATATTGACATATATGAATGTGATTAGATGATTATGATGTCACCGGTCATTTTTGCCATGTATATATCCCTAATTTCCTTCCCATGGGTAGTTGCATTAGAAAAATCTGTGGTTGGTTCAAATGCAGCTAATACAATCAAAGGGAGCTGTGATTCTAGTGTGCAGTTACTCCTTGGATTGCAGTTTTATTCATTTTTTTGTATCAATCACCTATCCAACTGAGGGTTTGTGGATGTGCACATTGCTACTCTACCATACGATAACTTTTGTGTGGCCAAATTGTGAAAAATCCTTCTCTAAGTTAAGGGTTAAAGTCATGGCTCTTTATTGATGATATATTTATTGTCTAATAAGACATCAAATCTTTGCTCACAACTGTTAGGTAGTCATAATTAGAGAGTTTTCTCATTCTGATAATCCACAGAATATGTATTTGTGAATATTATTGTTATCTCAGCAGCTGAGTTGTCTTCACATTTTGTGGAAAAACATAAATATAACCCATTGGAAACCATAATATAGACCCATCATCTTGTGTTGCGGTATCTAACCATATTAAAACATCACAGTGAGTGCAGGAGAGGAAATAAAGGAGCTGAAAAATGGGATGCCAGACAGCCACTGGAGCTGCCTCGTCAGCTGGATGTGTGTGTGTTGGTGAGAGAATTACACCTGCTGTTAGTCTTACACGCTGGTAGTCGGGGTTAGTGGGAGCAAGCTGAGAAGACTGCAAACTGGTGCCAGATAGGGATTAAAGCTTTGACACGTGTGTTACTGTGTGAGTGCGTAGGTGCGTGGTCACAGGGCATATTTTCCAGTCTCGCAGGCCAAGGCCACAGATATTCAAGGTGCTCACTCCACAATGTTCAAACATTTGTTAGCAATTAGCCTCAGCCACAAAAGCAACTTTCAACAAAACACAGAGACCCTCCCTCCCTCCCTCCCTCTCTCTCTCTCTCTCTCTCTCTCTCTCTCTCTCTTTCTCTTTTTTTCTGTCTTTTTTCATCCTGTCCCTTTTCCAGTCCCTCCCTCATTTTCCAGTTTCTTTGTTCCCCTCCCATCTCTCTCACTCCGCTTTGCTCTTTCTTTCTTGCCACTCGTCCTCCCTCTCTTCCTCCCTCCCTTCTTCTCTGAAGTTGCACATGGTTTCTGTCTGAGGAGGGCCAGTTTTCTCAGGCTCTGGATGGGAGAGGGATGATGCCAGACAGCTGCAGGCAAACACACATGTTCAAAACTTAGAGGAACTTTGTCCATTTTAATTTAGCACTTACAGACTTAGAGGAACACTTGAAATAACCTCTGTTTACTTTTGCCCAATGGGCTGACATTCAGCGTGGCTGAATCCTGAGGTGTTCCTCTCCATTTTTAAATCTGTGGAAGACAATTTTGGGACTTTCTTCTTTCTTGGGAAATTTGGAGACAACTGGAAAATGTTACACGAATGATTTTGCTGACACCTCGAAGGTAAATTGCTGACTACATTTGCTATTCCTGGACACGCTTTGTGGAAAAAGACTGCAGCATCACCACCATCATCAAGCTGAGCTTCAGCAAATTGGACAAGTTTTTTTATACAGGATTCTTGAGCCAGGAATCATGAAAGGTAAAACAATTTCTCTGGTCTCTTCTGTTATTTCTGCAAAAGTGAATTCTGAGCACCTACAAATCTCCTACTACATCCTTCTGTTCTCTTTTCATGCAAAAAAAAAGTAACTGGGTGCCTTTGCCAGTGTGAAAAATACTTTAAATTGCAGACAGGAACAGTATCTGTCATGGTGGCATGCAGGCAGGCACCTGCACAGGGCACCAGTGACCACATATGTTTCTCATCTGCTCTGAAACTTGGAAGAGTGGATCCTGAGAAAGTGTCGGCTTGTTGTTCTTGGACGCGAGACTTTGATCAGTCAGCTTTATGTCTCTATATGTGTGTGCGTGCACACCACAGCCCTGTTTCATAAAACATAAAATGTTCTCTAGACCTGCCAGCCTGCAACAGATTGACTTAATATCCCCTTTTTAAAGAGGGAGAGTGAAAACATAACATTTGAATTTGAGCGCTTTCACAACATGGCATGAAAGGAGAGCTGCCAGTGGCTTTGATGAGGGCAGAGGCTCATACATGTTTCCCAGACGTACAGTGAGAGAAGTGAAAGGCTGATAGAGATGAGAGGAAACAGTAAGAGAGTATAACAGAGAGGAATGAAATGAAGCAGAGAGAAGTCCCACATGTGGATTAACAGCTTTAAAAAATGTTGAGAAATGCTGACATATATATTACTTAAAGTAATTGGCATATGGTGGATTATTTATTATTATTGAGAACTGAAATATAACAGTATTATTTCCTGTTTTTGATAATGTTTCTAAACCTGGAGGCGTATAGAGGGTTGCTCAGCAGTTATTGTTGTTGTATTTCAGTGCTCCACTTCCCATAGATCACGTGCAAGTCTCGTGAATGTGTTCAGTGATGTGATGTCTGTTTGTCTGGATTTTGTTTCAGTTCCGGTGGTAGTGCTATCGCCTAATTGACCAAATGACACAAATTAGACCACGGACCATTCGATGAAATTTTGTCCCAGGGTCTCTCCCATCTCATAAGGGTTTTGCTTGTAGATCTTTTATTACTGAAAGTAATAGAAAGCCATGACCAAGATGTTCATACCACCCCTGGGGGGTCCCTGGACCCCACTTTGAGAACCACTGTGCTAAACCCCTTTGTTAGCAATCACAGTCGGGTTAGTTTACACTCCAGAAAACTCAGCCAACAATGCCCAAGATAGCATTATGTTTGCCAAATTAATCCTTCGGTCATCATCCTAACAGCTGTTTCTTATGTAGCCTAATGTTAAATGTGATGATGTCACATTTAATCTCTTATACTGCAACTAGTAAGTTCTACACTGCAATAGAAGGGAAATGCTATTCCTCTACTTAGCATTAGCTAACACGTCTTCATCAGCTGCTGAGGATGCTGACTTTTTGTCAGAGACCTGTTAGCTTTGGCCTCAGTCTTTTAGCATGATCATGTATGCAACCATCAAGTATATATTTAACCTGTTACAAGGTCTCTTGTTTAAAACAAAGTCAGCGGGAAACAAAGTTGGAGACAACATTTTCAACCACTTTCTGAAGCTAACGTTTGCTTATTTAGCTATCTAGCTACAAGCAATAAAATCTGCTAGCTAAAATCAATGGTTGCTAGCTAGAAATCAAAAGTTAGACACCGTCTAAAACCAACATTGTAAGAAAAATTTTTGCCATGTGAGAATGACAAGCAACATTAGTGATAGTGACAGTGATATCATGATATCATGCTAAATGTTAATCTAAAAAATAAAAAATGTAATCCTTCATAGAGCCACAGGAGTTTATTCTTGGAAACCAACTGACTGTTTTTGCTCATATTTATATTACAACTTCTGCTGTAGGCTATTACGTAAATAATCAGTGTTTAGTATTTGTTTTATTTCTTTTATGTGGCTCCTTATATTTTCTGTTGAATGAAGCTGCCATGAACCACAACATGACCCAGCAAATTAACTCCAAGAACATACACAGGACACTTCTCAGCCAAACAGTGCAGGAGGTCTGTTAATGTGGTTTCCAGTCTTGCTGAAAACGAGTCCAGCCCAGCCCGACCAGAACAAAACATGCTGCCTCATACATTCCTACCAGGGCTGGAGGAAGGGGTGGGGGGTGACCAGAGAAGAGGAAGGCAGTGGAGAAGGAATAGGATAGGAGACAGGTGTATGGCTGGAAAAGGACAAGGAAAGAGTGAGTGAAGGAAAGAGAGTGAAGAAAGAGAGAGATTTTCTTGTTTTTATTGCCATTTTTGCTGTGGCAACAGCATAAATTGATAGTCATGGCATTTTGAAAGGAGAACAAACCTCAACAAGACTATCTGAATGTCACATTGACTTGTTCTTACTGTATCCACAATGCACTTTTTGATTTATTTTTTCTCTCTTGGATTCATTATCTAAATGTTTCTGCTGGACTTTTTCCCGTTACACCAGCATTATACACATAAAATGTTGAATGTGCAGCAACTGGACACTTGTTTAAAAAGTTAGTGATATTATTATTCTGGTTAGAGGTATTTCTGTATTTTTATTAGGTTTCCTTCCATTTGATGTAGATGTTTGGCAATACTGTTCATCTAACTTTTATTCTGATAAATGGAGTTACATTAGACTCTTATGGAAAGACTAGGGTCAACATTCAAGTGGTTTTTTTAGACCATTTTTTGCCCATTCCTGTTTCAACATGACAGTGTGTCAGTCTGAACAGCTAATATGTTAGCAAGCTAATGTTGTTTTTATCAGTTTGTTATGTAAGAAGCATGTAACAGTTATCTGACAGCAACTGATGCACATTTTGAGTGACACACAGCTGAACTAGTTTGTGTGGTGCATCTCATGGTAATTCAGCAAATAACCATTTAGTAAACATTATTGTTTTAACCAGGCAGACTCTAGGACACGAAGAAGAAATGGTTTCCCTGTTTTGATGCAGAAGAACCTCAGGTATCAACAGATTAACCATATGTTTACCTATATGTTTACTTCCTTTGGAAAGCTTTTTTTCATTCTTACCTTTACTTCATCTCTGTGGAAAGTTTGTCTTCGACAATGATTGTGAAATTTGAGGGCAAGTGAAAAAAAATACCAAAAATCCTTCAAATAAAGAATTACAGAATATTGTACACACCCTTTGGCCCCACAGCCCTGTAAACCCAACCAGACTTGTCTCTTTGTCTCAGCCTGCCTGTCCAAAGCAGTTTAGTCCAGAGAAAACATGATGTGTTTATGGGATTGTGACTCTGAAAATCTCCTGTTTCACCGCCAAGCCACAATAAAAGAGCATTCCCTTGTAATGGCTCGTCTATAACTTCAGCTCCGCAATCTGCAGCAACACATACCAGGCGTTTATAGTTGTGTGAGGAGACCACACATTCTTGTCAGAGGGCACCTAAATGACTTGAATGAGGTCAGAGATTTGGAGAAGGACTCATTTGGCTTTTTGAGTTGTGGTCAAGACCTCCACTCTGATATGGAGCAGGGCCCATGACTCCTGGTTTTATTTAAGGCTGGGATTTGAGGAGGATTTTCTTGGTAAAAATTAAATGACATGTTGAATCTATGCATATTTATGAGGACATCACATCATTGAGTAACCTGGTGAGGTTAGAAGAAATTTAGGGCATGTTACTCACCAAAGATAACACTTTGCACAATCTCCTGTTGAAAGTAGACTGCAGAAGGGGGATGAAGAGAGGGAGAGGGTGGGGAAGGGGTTTGGAAAGTCCAAAACCCCCCTGAGAGAAACCACCACAGAGGAACCACAAACATAAAGTGGCGCTGATGGTTAGCTGACTCAAGCAAAGGCCTGGCGCTGTGTTCGCAAACCCCAAAGGTCTGATGGTGAAAGAGGATGGATGGAGGAGGGCCGATTAACTCCATGTGGTTGAAGAGCAACATCCTGATATTTATTTATTTATGTAATTTATTTTTTTACTTTATACAGTTTATCTTAAAGCCCTGCATTCACTGAACCGTAACCTTGTGTTTAATTCTGTAATTGATACCTTCATTCGCATGTACATGTATCCTTGTGGAACTGGTTAGAAAAGCTTTGTGGAGTAGCCTGGAACATGTCTGTCTCATGTCCTGTTTGTGCTGGTTTAACTTGCTGCTAGATTGATATTTTCATAGGTGTGGTGGCTGGCCACTGTACACCATCTGAACTAGCAACACTAAGCACAGTGTACTTACTGGGCACAAACACTGACATCCACTGGAACCACAATAAGCTTCTACCACAATGGTTAAGAAGATAAAGTTGCCTTGACAGAAATTTCTGAGATGATTTTGTGGTGAATTGATTAAGTTTTGCAGCAACGTTGGACCTCATGCGATTAAGCAATATCACACGAGAGGGAGTGATGTTGTACTGAATATCAGCACAGCTGTGATTCAGTGATAGGTACGAGGCCACAGGCCAAGTACCGCAGACAATCACAGCCGTACATGTACATACATGTAGTTAAAAGTCCCAGTGCTGTTATACTTTATATCAGCACTCACAAAATGCCTTTTGTCCAATCAATCAATTATTCGGTCAGAACTAACTATTGTATAAGAACATTTTTGTATTCTTATGCTAAAGATTTGATTGTGTGAGGGTTCTAAGTCCAATTCACCAGACTCTCTTTAACTGTTCATAAATTTTGACCTTCAGCCTGATGAGTGCCACCTGTTCATAGAGTGGGTGGTAGTGGGCCAGTATATACCCTAAGGGAACTAATGGAATTGGGAACAGGTGAGTGAGTCGGTGTTGGGAATCAGGTGACTGGAAAGGTGGGAGTGGTTGGGGTTACTGCAGGGCAGGTGGGAGCAGCAGGACCTGCAGTGACAGTTAGTGAGTTAGTGAATGTGGCAAAAAACTGAATGAACTGTGACAAATTTATACTTGTGAGGTTTTTATATCAAACCTGATGAGCGCCCCAAAGGTTTGACATACCAGTTAGATAAGTTGTTCACATCAGGAAAATGTTGGTATTCAGAGTTATACTACGTGTCTAAAAGTATGCAGACATCCTGT